TAGATTAGAATTGACAGATGTAGTAGCAATGGGGCTCCCTAGTACCAATTATAAATAAAAGAATTCCATAATGGCAAAGGACAGATATCATAGTGGGACATGTATAATAGGAAGCAAGTGTAGGATATAATCCAGATGTCTTGACCTACAAGAATCTATACTGATGGCTAAGAGATCATGATGTTCTCAAGGGAAAGTTAGAAAGGGAGATGGGGTGGTGTATTTTGTTGCTGGCGAGTGATGCATGGCTTATATTTAAAAGTGAACAGAATACTGATGTTAGCCTTTACAATGAAAATCATGGTCCCTCAACAGTTTCCTGACATAAACCACTCCACAGCTTCAGAACCCAGTGATTAAACAAAATATATGCACTTGAGAAAATTCTTTTCAATGCCACAAAAAAACACAGTGAACAACTCTTTACTTCTACCCCAGGAAATCCAAAGCCATTAACTAGAATGTGCACTGAAGATTTTTTTTTTTTTTTTGGTACCAGGGATTGAACCCAGGGGTGCTTAACCCCTGAGCCACATCCCTAGCCCTCTTTGTATTTTATTTAGAAACAGGGTCTCACTGAGTTGCTTAGGTCCTCACTAAATTGCTGAGGCTGGCTTTGAACTTGCCATCTTCTTGTGTCAGCCTCCCAAGCTGCTGGGATTACAGGTGAAAATGCCACCATGCCCCACAAGAGAAGAAAACTTAAGGTTTTGATAACCTGTGGATATCGTATCTAAGCTACAAGCTGACACTGTACAAGTAGAATGAATGATCCTCCAGTTAAGAGTGGGAACTCATGGAAGTCAAAGGATGACTGCAGGTTTTGCCCATCTTTTCTATATAGTTGTGGATTTTTATGTGGTGCTGAGAATTGAACCCAGTGCTTCACACACTCTAGGCAAGCGCTCTACCACTGAGCCACAAAACCCAGACCCCAATTTAATCTTATAGGACCACTCTACAGGTTGCTGCTATAATGTGGATACTAGTACATTATCCTACTCAGTCCTTAAGTAGGATATAAACTCAGTAGTTCACAGAGAACTCACATTGATCTTTACAATAGAAAGGGCCAATTGTAAACCTGAGTCTGCTTTACCTTGATAAGACAGTAAATCAGAACCAATTCGTGCAAAGAATTGCAGATATCAATGCCACATTCAAAGACCTGAAGGAAATAGAGTGAGTTTCTGTAACCCATTTCAATATACCTCTCTGGGCCTTGCGACTACTAGATGGAAAAAGTTCTGGAGATGGATGATGGTAACAATTTTACAATATGAATGTACATAATGCCAGTGATTGTGCCCTTAAAATAGCAAATTTTATGTATATTATACCACAATTTTTAAAAACTGATGAGATTTTATGCTACTGTTACAGTAGGAAACAGTGGAGTACTTCAATTGCAACTACTATTTCGGATGCAATATCTTTTTAATTATAGCTTTATAATTCATACACAATAAAATTCCCCCTTTAAAATTATACCACTGGGTGGTTTTTAAAGTCATACACTGGTCACCACTATCTAGCTCCAGAACATTTCATCAACCTAAAAACAAACACTATACCCACTAACAGTCCCTCTACCCCTTTTAGTCAGTCCCTGGTAGCCAACTAATCTGCTTTATTTCTCTATACCTTTACCTGTTATGGACATATCATATGAATGAAATCATACCAAGGCACAAGGTGGCCCCTTGTGCCTGTTTTTTTTCATAATGTACTGGTATCCACACTATAACACATACTTCATTCACTTTTATGGCTAATATTCCATTGTAGAGCTATATTATATTTACTTATCCATTCATCACTTGATGGCAATTTTGGTTGTTCCTAGTTTTTGGCTTTTATGAATGTTGCTGCTATAAACATTCATGTACAGCTTTAGTATAAACTTGTTTTCAATTCTATCTGGTATATATCTAGGAGGAGAATTGCTGGACCATGTGGTAATTAAGTTTAACCACTTGAAACACTGCCAAACTTTTGCAAAGTAGCTGTACCATTTTATATTTCCACTGCAATACATGGTGATTCCACTTGCTCCACATCATTGTCTTTTTTATTGTAATCATTCTAGTGAATATAAAAGGGTATCTCATTATAGTTTGTTTTGTGGTTTTCTTTTCTTTTTTTGGTTCTGGCGACAGAACCCAGGGCTTTGTGCAAGCTAAGCAATCTACTGCTGGGGAATACTATAGTCCTCGCTGTGGTTTTGATTTGAATAGACCCATCTTTACCAAAAAAAGAAAAACCGAAAACCTCAGCCTCTAGCATTTGGTATGTGACTTCTAAACTGACCAAGGAATATGTCTCAAAAGAAGCATCAAAGGCTGGGGATACAGCTCAGTTGGTAGAGTGCTTGCCTTGCATGCACAAGGACCTGGGTTCAATCCCCAGCACCATTAAAAAAGAAGGACCAAAAGCAGTTCAATTTAACCTAATGTGTTAGGACTATTATTCCTTGGATATAATAGGCTTACATATTTCTATTTATTGTCATGTGACTTGACAATGCATCCTGTAGGAATAATCCATGTCCTTGCCTTTTGACTTTGGGACTGACCATGTGACATGCTCCAAATCAACAAAATTATGAAAAGATGACATTTGCCACAACTGGCAAAAGCCTACCATTGTATGCTTCCTCTCAGTCTTTCTCTCCTTTACTAGCATAGCTCAGATAGGGGCTGTTCCTTAAGCATGGGTCCCACACGAGAAGACATACAGAACAGAATCCCAGTCTGCCTGTAGCCAGGCAAAGCCAAACCTGACACATAACAGATATTTGACATTTTAATCAAAGCTATTTTTAAGTTCATGGAAGAAAACATCGCAAGAGCTCACACTAAATTATTAGAGGCATTGATTAGATCAATTTATATATTGCCCTGAAGACATTCATTTTTGTTTAAAAGGAAGTTACTAATTTATCCTGATAAAGATTTAAAATGGCAAATAAAACATTAAATTCATAGTGCTAGTTTTAAAAATATCATTATCCATTATTTATTTGTGTTTAAAAAATACCTAAGTTTTTCCTAGGTCAGTGTATAATTTCAGCAAAACTTTAATCAACTGTTACAATTCAACTCCAGGTAGTATTAACTTTTCTTCTCTTCTGATACTTGTGCCAATTTCGCCCTTTCTTTTAATTCCTTCTGCTCTCTGGAATATTGCTCAAATATTGGTTGATAAATATATATTCCTCCAGCAAGTCCAAGGACTCCAGCAAAAAGCAGTTGTGGAAGAGTCAATCTCCCAAACATTGTTGCAACAAACACAGAATAAAACAAAGGTGGTTCTGAAAAGTTATATTCCACATTCAGCAAATCTCTTCATATCTCTGTACAAAGAAAAGAGGAAACAGAGCAATGACTTAGTATAATCACTTTAAGATTTCATATCACTACTTTGCTTGAGAGTGAACAACATTTTTTGTACTATTGAAGCATCACTTTAACTATGGGAAATAAGGTAAGGAGATGATGTAAGACAAAGCTAAATCTTCTTTTATTACAGTATGTTCTCCATGGTTTTAAATGGATAACTTAATATGGGAAAAAGATGGCAGGGAATGACACTCTCTTTATGCTTTTAATTCATACCACAAAACAAACTAAAACAAAACAAAACAGTTGGAAAAAGCTGTGATTGCCTCTGAGAAATGTGAACTGGAAGCAAGAGTAAGGTAGGCAGAGAATTATTACTTTCCATTCGTCCTTTTTGGATTATTCATGTTTTTTAGTAGTATGTACCATAAGAACAATTGTTTAATGAGCTAAACGATTTAATGAGTTCCACCTAGAATAGTGGCCGATGCCTGATATCCCAGCGACTCTGGGGCTGAGGCAGAAGGACTGCTAGTTTGAGACCAACATGGGCAACTTAGCAAGGACTTAAGTAACTTAATGAAACCCTGTCTCAAAATAAAAAAATTAAAAAGGGGATGGAGATGTGACTCAGTGGCAAAAAGCACCTTTGGGTTCAAAACCCAGCAAAAAAAAAAAAAAAAAATTGTTTCTTTTTTTGTTTTAGTAAGCACAGAAGATATCAAATATAAATTATCTGCCATCTATAATTTATATTTTAAGAAAAATATGCTTTTAAGAAAAATATAATGAAATGTGCTGTTAAATTTTTAACAACTGAAAGACTCTAAGGCTTTCCAGAAAGTGATATTCCTTGCCAACATACTCCTTTCTAGAATAAGGAAAGCACAGTGAAGAATTTGTTTACTCGATTTTAACATGGCCTCCTACACCAGCACCAGAGGTCACAAATATCAGACTATAAACTAACTAGCCTGCCCTTAATATGCCTGGAATGTAATTTAAACTAACTTGGGCAAGAAAAGCCTGTTTTCTCCTATCTCCTACAGTTGAGTCAATAAGTGACAAATTTCATCAATCATGCTTGGTTCAATGGTTACGGGTTAAATCAACACACCCTCCCTCCCCAGTCCTTTCAGCCTGTTGCTACATAGGTGCAATAAGCTACCCTGACTACCCCGTTCAACAGGGAGTTTCTGTAAGACCACCGAAGCAGTGCAATGTTACACACTTAGGTTTATGATTATCATTACCAGTACCGCCAGCACCCGGCACGTCCGACCGTCCCGTGGCCGCTCCGCGACGCTTCCCCCGCGCCTTCGCCTGTCCCCGCGAGGTGAGATTGGTCTCCTTCCGGCAGCGCTTCCGGACGTCGGAGCAGAGACAAAACCAAAAACAGGCAGCTATTCCCGTCCTCCGCGGCTAGGCAGCGCCAAAGAGAAAACGGGGGAGCCCTCTGCAGAAGGCCCGCACTCTGCTGCGGGGACTGCCTGGCGCGTTGGCTTCAAGACTGGCCCTGGCCTGGATACCTCCGCGTCTGCAAGCGACGGCTGCTCGCAAAGACCAAACTTACTGCAGCACCAGCAGCGCGCGTTTCTCCAGCTTCCTTCCGTCCTTGGAAGGTGGCGGCTGGGGAACCTCTGCTGGCCTCCAAGCAGGTGGAAATGGAGCCGGAAGGTGGCGGCCGCAGCCTTGCTTTCCGCGCTCTCCAAAACCGCTCCCACGAGAAAACAAAGCTGCGAAAGAGAAAGTCTACCTTGTACGTCAGCGCCCAGGACCAGAACCGCGGAGGTGAGTGAGGGGACTGTATGGAGAGCTACAGTCCGACTCAAAGGAAGCGCCCTACTTTTCACTGTCAGCCAGTTACCAGTTTCGCTTTGTGCTGCCAGATCTTAAAATAGACTTGAATACTGGAAATGCAGGTTTTAACTTAAATCTGATTTTTAAATGTTGATAACTAAATTCATATTAAAAAAAAAAAAACCTGGCATACAATCTGCCCATTTGTGGTTAAGAGCAGATTTGCGCAACAGCCGGCCGACCTGAATTTGAATGTTTAGCCTTCTATAACTTTTTACTCTGGACAAGGCAATGTAATTCCTGAGCCTTAGTTTCCTCGTATGTAAAATGGAGCTAATAATATCTATCCCATAGCGTTGTTTTGAGGGTTAAATGACATACATGTAAAGGAATTATCCCATTAACTGGCATACATTATCAAAAAGAGATTTTAAAATACAGAGGAGCTGGGTTGGTGGTGCATGCCTGTAATCCCAAAGACTCCCGAGGCTGTCGGAGATTGCAAATGCGAGGCCAGCCTCAGCAATTTAGTGAGATCATGGCTCAAAATAAAAAGGGCTGGGGGTGTAGCTCAATGGTAAAGCGCTTCTGGCTGCTACTACTATTACTACTCTTACTGATGATGATGAAGATATTCCACTGTTGACAGAGTTGTATTCTAATTAGTAATTTGTTTACTAGATTCTTTCATTAGGCGCACATGTAGTATAACCTAATTAGCTTGAGGACTTAGTCAACCCAGTCTTTTTTCCAGTATTTATCTCAATATTCTCTGTACAGTAAGTTGCAAGACAAGTTGGTTTAAATAAAAGGAGTAGCCATCACCCAGTTGTGAGGCTCTGGCCCTAGAGTACCTTTCAGCCCTGGTCAACTTTGAGAGTTCACCACTGTGCTTTAACAAAGGTTAAGCTAGGGGCCAAACAGAAGGGCAGATTTTAAGTTCTGCAAGTGGAATGCCTGTCTTTTTTGCCACAATTGCTTATTGTTTTGTTTTTCAGATCTTCTTGGAGAAAACATTTATCTGGTTTTGTTTACCATTGCTTTACGAATATTTAATTGCTTTTTGGTCCAGACAAGTTTTGTTCCAGATGAATATTGGCAGTCTCTTGAAGTTGCACATCATATGGTTTTCAAATATCCTTTCTAGTTTCTTTTCCAGACAATGAATGTATATTTATCTTAGGAATGAGTCCTCTTTTGATACACATTTTCTCATAATTTCAACTCATCAAAGTATGCCATTGCTGAATACCAATATTTCTTCTGTATCTTTCTTTGTTGTTAATATACTTGACACATCCTTTAGTGTGTATAGTCCCACAATGCTTGTACTTGGCAGATTCAAATAAAGTAAAAAACACATTTCTGTCTTGAAGCAGTCAAAGCATTTAGTTGGCCAACTGAAGTTTTAATTCTGATAGCCAATGTAAAATACTGGGTTTTAAAATTTCATTGTTGGTCTGGGGATAAAGCTCAGTTGGTAGAGTGCTTGCCTTGCATGCACAAAGCCCTGGGTTCAATCCCCAGCAACACACACACACACACACACACACATCATAAATAAATAAATAAAATTCCAATGTTAAAGAGTAAAATATTGTTTTATATATGAAAGTATAAATAGATTATTTCAATACTATTTGACATTTAATCCTTAATATTACTAATTATGGTTATATGACCTGGGAATGGACAGAAAGATTGAGGGGTTATACTTACCCCTTAATCTTTGCAAGCATTTACAAGATTCTGCATCTTTTGGGGAAAGATAGTGTTCAGCTGCTGGTAAGTTTAAATAAAAGTAATCAAAAATGTTATTTAAAACATGTATTCTATCATTTTTCTAGAGTTAATTGGTATTATGTTATATTATTGGTACCACGAAGTTTGTTTTTAAAAGTCTACTGTTGCTAAAGTCCAGCCTCATCTGGAATGCCCAAGATGCCAAACACATACAAAACACAAAAGTGGGTAGGGGCAGTGGCACATGCCTATAATCCAGTGATTCAGGAGGCTGAGGCAGAAGAATCACAAGTTCCAGGCCAACTTCAGCAGTTTAGCAAGACTCTCAGCAACTCAGGGAGACACTGTCTTAAAATAAAATATAAAAAGGGCTGGGGCCAGGTGCAGTGGTGCAAGCCTGTAACCCCAGCCATGTGGGAGGCTAAGGCAGGAGAATTATAAATTTGAGGCCAGCCTCAGCAGTTTAGTGAGGCCCTAAGCAATTTAGCAAGACCTTTTCTCCAAAATAAAAAGGGGCTGAGGATGCAACTGAGTGAAAGCACCTCTGGATTCAATCTCCAGTACCACCATCACCCTCAAAAGAACACAAGACTAAGCATATCCTGCTATGAGGAATTCTGTTAATATATGCAGATTTTCAAAATAACTTTTATATATACATAATTTGAATTTTAGAAATATACTTCCTTCATAAAAGAGTCACTTGAGGCCTGGGGTTGTAGCTCAGCAGTAGAGCGCTCACCTAGCATGTGTGAGACACTGGGTTCGATTCACAGCACCGCATATATATAATAAAATAAATGGTCCATTAACATCCAAAAAAAATTTAAAAAGAATCACTTGAAATTGGTGTTTTTTTTAACTTGTAAGTGGAAAACCATGTTATGTGAGCTTATGAAGACAAAACACACATAAACCCAATCAGTATTTAGTGTTGAAATTCAAATTTAGAAAAAATTAATATGACAGAAATTTAATGATATACATAATCATTGTGCAATGTAGTAACTGGCCATCAATAGTAAGTAGGATTGTAATTCCTAGATGTTGAATTTTACTAGGTCAGTTTCCAAGACAGGTTACCAGTAGTACAAATTTTTCTGTAGCCTCACATTCTAGATCTTTTAAGCTGTCATCAGGTTGAACTAGAAGTTTAGGCCTTCTGTATTTTTCAGTTACAGAGAGCTAGTGGTTCAGTATTCTAAATCTTGGGGTGTTTTTTTTTAATACTTTTATTTTATTTATTTATGTATTTATTTATATGTGGTGCTGAGGATTGAACCCAGGGCCTTAAACATGGAAGGTGAGCACTCTACTGCTGAGCCATAACCCCAGCCCCTCTTGGGGTATTTTTTTGGAGCCTCGAAAGACACTGAAGTTCTAGGGGGTATTTTTTTTTCTTAATAATTTTTTTTAGTTGTAGATAGATACAATACCTTTATTTATTTTTATGTGGTACTGAGGATCGATCCTAGTGCCTCACATGTACTAAGCAAGCGCGCTGCCACTGAGCTACAACCCCATCCCTAGCGGGTATTGTTTTAAAGCAGGGTTGTACCTTCTCCTTGAACTGATAAATATCAGTTCATTCTCCATTACTGAGAAATGAGGACCAGAACATGAAAACGATAATGTGACTATCCTGGGGAAAGAGAACTTAAGAGCAATAGCAGAGTTTCTCCCATTAACATAGGTAGACTGTAGAAGCTATGAACTGAGAAAAGTGTCAGACATGCTAATGCTAAAGTGTAATTTAATTGTAATACATTTACTCTTTCTTTTTCTGCTTTTTGGGTTGTTTTTGTTTTGTTTTGTGGTGCTGGATGGAACCCAGGGCCTCATGAATGCTAGGCAGGCACACTATCTCTGAGCCACAGCCCAGTTCTTTAGTTTCTTTTATTTTACTCATAAATTATTCTTTAATGTCATCTGAATACTGTGATCATAGAATACTTTTGGGGTTTGTTTTGTTTGGGGGAGGGGTTGGTACCAGGGGCGCTTTATCACTGAACCACATCTACAGCCCTTTTTTATTTTGAGACAGGGTCTTGCTAAGTTGCTTAGGGCTGTGCTAAATTGCTGAGGCTGGTCTCGAACTTGCAATCCTCCTGCCTTAGCTTCCCAACCACTGAGATTACAGACATGTGCCACAACATCCAGCTTTTTTTCACCCCCAGTAATCTGTCATCTTATTTTCTATATTGTAGGATGGGAAAACAGTATAACTTAACAGTGAGAGCACAGGCTTTGGTGTCAGGCACACCTGGGTTTGAATCCTGGGTTTCCTTGCTATTATATTATTTATTTATTATATGCTAATAGAAATAAGTATACTTCTAAAATAAATCTCAACACAATAAAATGGTTTACAATTATTTAAATTAAAATTAGTAGTGTTTTAAGGTATATGTATCTCACATATTTCTTATGTATATGAAACATGTGTAAAATATATATATGAAACGTGTGTGAAAACAAAAAATGAAAATGGTAAAACTACCTTTTGTATGTCCATGAGAAATTAATGTAATTTTTGTAGAAAACATGTATTTTTACAAAAAACAGAATAATATATTATCTATTTTTGTACTAAAAATGGCTTCAAATGATAGTTGGATCAGCTTGTTGATTTTATGCTAATTCAGTATGAGCTAAGAGATGTGTCTTATAACTTCTTCTTTTTAACTTAATGAAGATCTGGACTCCCAGACTTGCCCAAGCACTTCTGTCTGCTCTAGCAGATGTGAGGCTTTACTCATTAATGAAGCAACTAGAAAATCAGGAAATGGCTAGATGGGTGGTAAGTGCTTAAATATTTTACAAACTGTATGCGGGTTATTTCGTTAACGTGGGCATAAAGCGTATGGAAAGAACTAATGACTCCCCAAATAGCTTCAAAAGATAATTCATAGCACTTTTTAGAAGTACTTCCATAATTAATAACAGTAAAATGAAGTGACACATGAATCTCTCTCCTTGAGTCATGATTAGTGGAAACCATACCTTATGAGTTACTAAACTGTAGGAGACCTTTGGAACCCCTTAACTCCTCAAAACTGTCAAGAGTTCTTGCTTCACTGTATATAGAATTCAATAGAAAGGGGCTGGAAATGTGGTTTGTGGTGTAGCATTTGCCTAGCATGTAGGATGGCCTGGGTTCAATCCCCAGCACTGCCAAAATATAAAAAGGTAAACTTAAAAAAAAAAAAAAGAATTCAGTAAGAATCACTGCCTATCTCAGAAAGAAGTGCTGCTGTATACAACCTTGGTTCATTATTCCTTCAGCTACCTGAGGCTCAACCTGAGAAATGCCTTTGCACTAAAACACTATTTCACCCTCAGATGGAATGTTTGAAATAAATGGACTCCTAGAAGGGAGAAAGTATGGTAGAAGACTACCTTCTGTCATTTGACTTATTTCAAGTTGGGGAGATAAATTCCTGACATCTCACATTCAAATCATGAATGAGTTTTCCCATTTAAACCACATCCTGAAGAGTGACTGGATTCTACAGTAATATTTTTGCTTCACTTTGCTCTTTCTAAAATCAAATAAATTGAAATGAGACAGCTTAGGAATCTTAATACCTTTTAAATATTGTTTGTATTGGAAAATACATGCCAAATTATAACTAGTTACTAACACATTTCTGGAATATAATTTATTAGTAAACTGGAGAAAGGACATATTTCTGCAAGCATTGTATTCTTTTGCATTAAAAAAAGCAGGTTATATTAACAAGTAAGTCCTTATTAATGGAGTCAGGTATGAAGTCAGTGTTTTTATTTTGTGCTTATATTTTATATATATTACTAAAGACTCAATAGGCAAAGTTCATGATACCTGTGAAACCCTTCCTCCAAAGTAACAAAACTATTATTAGATTCTTCTAGTTAGGAAGAACCTTTAACTTCATGAAAATTGGAATTTTTTTTAAAGGTATATTTGAAGAGATGGGAAGCTAGTACTTAATGTTTAACACTCTTGCCTCAACTAACAATTTACTTTTAAGATATCTGTTTTATAGACTTCTTGGTGCTTGTTTGCATGTTTCTCCAAAACCTGGTTTATTAATTTAGCCAGTTTTCAAATTAAAATTTAATAATGCATCCTGACATTTTTTGCTCCCTTATTTTGTCTGAATTTTTTCACTAAGAAATTGGGCAACAGGGCTGGACACGGTGGTGCACGCCTATAATCCCAGCAGCTGGGAGGCTGAGACAGGAGGATCTTGAGTTCAAAGCTAGCCTGAGCAATGGCGAAGCACTAAGCAACTCAGACCCTGTCTCTAAATAAAATACAAAACAGGTGGGGATGCGGCTCAGTGGGCAAATGCCCCTCAGTTCAATCCCCGGATGTAGCTCAGTAGTAGAGTTCTTGCCTAGCAAGTGCAAGGTGCTGGATTTAATCCCCAGTACGGAAGGAAGGAAGGAAGGAAGGAAGGGAGGGAGGGAGGGAGGGAGGAAGGAAGGAAAAAAGAAAAAAAGAAATTGGGCAAAAGCCCTAAGCAATTACTGAGACCCTGTCTCAAAATAAAAAGGGCTTGGGAGTAGTTAAGCACCCCTGAGTTCAATCCCTAGAAGAAAGGAAGGAAAGGAAAGAGGGAGGGAGGGAGGGGGGAAGGAGAGAAAGAGAAAAGAAAGAGGGAAGGAATGAATTGGACAACATTCCAAATCAAGGTCAGTTGCAAACACTCAAAATACTGTGTTAATACTGTAAGACAATTTGAGGAATACTGGCTGGGAGAATCTAGTTATGGATTTCAGTCTATCTCTATAAATTCTACTATAAAAGAATTTGTGCTTTATATCTTTCATTAGTGGGAATTGGGAATTAAATCAAATGTGATGCCATAAAAATGCATCTGAAAGTATAAATTCATTGATAAATACAGATCTGATATTATGGTAGACCTATGTTTGATTTAAGTTCTTAAAAACAATGTTTGGGCAGGCCTATTTACTTTTAAAATCCTTTCTCTTTTAATTTAATGTGGTTTTTATAATATTTAGACTTGCTATTTCCCATAGAAGAAGATAATACTAAATTTTTCCATTTCTTATTTCATACATATTTCTAATATAATTTTTCTTAGTTTTTTTGCCAGTCGTGCTCTTGGTTCACATGGTATTGCTGTACCAGAACCCTTACAAACACCATGGAAACTGATCTTACTATAATTGCTCTTTTCTACTATCCTTTGGAAGGTTCAAAGTCTATAAACAGGTGAGATATATTACTGCTAATAATTATATACAAATATCTAAGACATGCTTTTGAAAAATATTAAATATCAATATATTGTAATATCCACTAGACCCCCTAATGTTCTCCCATTAAGTCAGAGTTATGAGAACCACAGATTTTCAGTGGGTACAGCATATCAGGAAATAGATAATACATTCAATCTGGATAGTTAAAGACTTTAATAAAAGAACTATTTACAAAGATATAAACAATATTTAGAAAAGCCAATAAAAAATACCACAGTACCCCAGGGCTAGTCACAACAGGAATTCTTTTATCTCCAGGCTCTAAGGAGCTAGGAGAAGAAACAGTTACTGGGATTCACACAGAGCTGTAACTATTAAGAGAAAGCTTCAACAGGAGACAGGCACAGCCAGCATTTAGCAGCAGCAAGGAGACCACCAAGAAAATAAATAATCCTGACTCACTCCCCTCCCATCTTTCAGTTAGCTCAAACCAATCAGAAGCCAGAAGACAAGGCAGACCATTGATGTTATACCATGCAGGTCAGCCTCGCCACACACAGCAGGTAAAGTGTGGAGAACACATCTGGAAGGGCAGTTAGAAAACACTCTGACCCAATTTGGTTTCATATGAACCAGAGAAGTAAATACCAAGCAAAGAAAAAAACATGAGCTAAAGCATAGAGTTATTAAAAGGTTTCAGTGAACTGAGAGCAGGTTGTGTAGAGTAGCTAGAGTATAGTAGGATGCATGAAAGAAGAGAATAAGGATGAGGCTAGAATTGGACTTTGCCTTTCTTCAGAATTTGGATTTTATTTTATAGGTATTAGAGAACCACTGCAGGTTTTTGAGAAGAATGACATTATCAAATCTGATTTCAAAAGAATTTTCTTATAGTAGCAATATTTAGGATACACTGAAAGGGAGAAAGCCAGAATTGGGGAGTCTAATTAAAACTGTAGTATCCACTCTTCCCACATAAAAAGTGGGAAGAGAGGGAATGGGAAGGAAACAAAGATGGACGTGTAGAATGAGAAGTTGCTATCTAAGATGACTCCAAAATTTTAAGGTGAAAAAACTTAAGTGATACTACCATTAAATAGGGATGGTGGCACACGCCCATGCCCATCCCAGCTGTTCAGGAGTCTGAGGCAGGAAGACTGCAAATTCAAGGCCAACCTTGGCAACTTAGCAAGACCTTGTCTCAAAATTATTAAAAAAAAAAAAAAAAAGGGCTGAGGAAGTAGCTCAATAGTAGAGCTCATGCACTGGGTTCTGTGCCCAGTACACCCTCCCCTCATCCAACACATAGCATACAATGAACAGGTTTGGGGTATTGTGGGTATTTTGCCAAACACTCTGATTTTCAGTGGCAGTATGTGATCTATGGTAGAAATGTTCAGAAAGGAGTAAAATGTTTTCTAAGTCTGAAAACCTAGAGAAAGGTCAAGACAAGAATTATACATTTGGGAATCCTCTATGTAGTTTCACTATCTAGAAAGTTACATTTAATCAATCTGCCTATCAAACCAAGCCACAAGTATGATTTATTTCACATATATAGTATTTAAAAAAAAAAAACTACTTAGCAAAGTTTTTTAAAATTGGGAGCTCTTACATAAAAATCTAGATTTCTGGAACTGGGGGTGAAGTTCAATGGTAGAATTGTTATCTAGGATGCACAAGACCTGAGTTCCACCTCCAGCACCACAAAAAGAAAAGACAAAACCTAGATTTTTTCTGATTTCTCTTTAAATTGGAAGGCATAATAACATTCTGGACTAGGTTTCCTTAATGACAGTTACATAGTCTCCACTCAATTTGCATCACTCATTTTTGTTACTTACCTGATTTCTATAAGCCTTTGAATTTGTTATTCTTGCTCTTTCACCCTCACTAACATTAGGGATTTCTTTACAGTTATTTATTTTTATAGTTGACAGGTATATGCTAGCAAAGTTGTTTTGTTTTGATTGCTTTTGTATTTTAGCACCCCCTGATACAAATATATATTATATATATAGTTTTCAACACATAAGACAAGTATTAACACAAAGGATAACACCTCAACTGAAAATACTAGAATTAGGACATCAGAGCTAGAAAAGACTATAAATGTTACCTCTTTTTACAGATAAGGAAAACTAAGACACAGAAAATACAAGTAACTTGCCAGAGTTCATTTAGCAATTTATAACAAAAGGAAAATGCTATCATTTTTTAAAAAGTGTAAACAGTAGATTTAACTTCAAAACTAATTTCCCAATTGTCTTGATAACACATTTTCCTTGTTTATAGTGTTAAATACTCTTCCCTGGTGGCACTTGCCTTCATAATTCGTCCCACAGCTATCATTCCATGGATGCCTTTGCTCTTCAAACATTTCTGGCAAGAACAGAGAAAAACTGACCTTATTCTACATTACTTTTTACCTGTAGGGTAAGTCTATCTATGTCTAATAGATATAATCTGTCTATTAATTTTACTAACCTATAAATGATTATGAATAAGATTTTGTGTCTTTCAGTTATTATTATAGTATAAAATCATTGAGAACTCTCAGTCCAAGGAAATAGAATATTAAGTTTTTGATATAAATAAATTTACGTGTGTGTGTGTATGCACGCATGCGCTTTCACACACACACACACACACACACACACACACACCACACACACCCCAGTGGTACTGGGTATTGAGTTCAGGAGCACTCTACCACTGAGCTACACCCTCAATCCTCTTTATTTTTTGAGACAGAGTCTCACTAAGTTGCTGAGACTGGCCTCAAACTTGTGATCCTCCTGCCTCAAATTCCTGAGTCACTAGGATTACAGGCATGTACCACTGAACCTGGCATGTTTTATATTCATATAAAATACATATATATTTTATGCATATATATATAAATAAAATGTTGTTTATATGTTCTTAATTTGCTTAAATGAGAGCCTCTCAATTATTTCTAACAGAATTTACCTTTGCTTTTTTCCCTATTTCTCAAATACATTTTAGAAATACTTGCTTTTTTTTACATTTGTGTAGGTTTTATAACTTATAATGGGTTTTCACATATGACCTCAAACCATCACAATTCTTGGATCTTGGCAATGCATGCATTTTTATTTTGTAATAGAGGAAACAGAAGATATGAATAAATTAAAAATTATCCAAAAACTTTGGGCTTGTTGCTGTAAGGGAACTAGGATTGGAATCCAGGTCTTCTAACTTATTATGAGCTCCTAGGATTAGCCTTATCCAAAATATCTAGTAGAATATCCAAAATAATTATAGAAAAGATAAATACATTCAGACTCTGAGGACAGCAATATACTATATTCACTCCACACAAGTATTTTTTTATAAACAGTTTTTTCAAAGGACTAAATAATATTATTAAAGTTACTACTCTTTGTCATTTCTAGATATTTTATTATTGCACCCCTGCCTTTATGAGGTTCCCATTCTAGTGGGGAAAGACACAGCTAAAAAGATAAGATTTAGATATTTGTCCAAGTGATGATAAGTGCTATAGTGAAAAATAATGTGAGATTAAAAAGATAGAATGCTGGTGTGCATGTGGGTGTTATTTTTATATAATAATTGTGAAAGACCACCATAATAAGATTATATTGGAGCTAAAATCTAGAAGAATGAGAGAGTGAAACTTACAGACACCTAAAGAAAAAACATTCCAGGCAAAGGGACTAGCAAGTACAAGGTACATTTGGCTTTATTTAAGAAACATCAAATAAAAAAGCTAAAGGAGAGTGAGTCTGGGAGAATGTGATAATGTCAGAAGATAAGAGGGGCCCAGATCAAGTAGACTTTTACACTGAGGTATATGAAAAAAGTCTTTTTAGTCTCTCAGCAAAGTTGATATGGTTTATTCACTCAGAGCATTTAACCTATTTGTGTCAAGCATTTGTTAATTAAGAAATAACTAAGAGAACCCCCAAAGCTCAGGAAATAATACCAAGAATTAATAAATGGAATGATATCAAATTAAAAAGCAGCACATGAAAGGAAACAATTAGAAATGTGAAGAGAGAACCTACAGAATGAGAGGAAAATCTTTTCTAGCTACTCTTCTGGCAGAGAATCAAAATCTAGAATATATAAAGACTATATATTCTAGGGGCTGGGGCTGGGATGTGGCTCAAGTGGTAGTGTGCTCACCTGGAATGTGTGAGGCACTGGGTTCGATCCTCAACACCACATAAAAATAAAATAAAGATATTGTGTCCACCTAAAACTAAAAAATAAAAAAATAAAAAAGAATTCAAAAAACTGAACACCAAAAAAATAAAATAACTCAATAAATGGGGTTAAACAGATGCTTCTCAAAAGAAATACAGATGGCCAACAAATATGTGAAAAAAATATTCAACAATATTAGCAATTAGGAAAATGCAAATCAAAACTTCACTGAGATTTCACTGCCCACCAGTCAGAATGGCAATCATCAAGAATACAAATAATAATAAATTCTAGAGAGTGTGGAGAAAAAGCGCTTTCACACTGTTGATTGTAAATTAATATGGAAATCAGTATGGAGGTTTTTCAAAAGACTAGATGTGGAACTACCATATGACCCACTTATACCACACCTCTTTTTCTTGAAGAATTAAAGTCATCATACAACAGTGATACATGTATACCCATGTTTATAGAAGGACAATTCACAATAATCAAATTATGGAACCAGCCTAGGTTTCTATCAACAGATAAATGGATGAAGAAAATATGGTATATATATACACAATAGAGTTTTATTGAGCCATGAATAAAAATGAAATTATGTCATTTGCAGGAAAACAGATGGAACTAGAGACCATTATGTTAATGAAATAAGCCAAACTCAGGAGGTCAAGGTTTATATGTTTTCTCTCATTTGGAAGCTTGACAGGAAAAAGGAAAAGAGAGGATAAGGGCGTGTCATGAAAATCAAAGGGAGATCAGTAGGTGGGAGAAGGGAAGGGAGGGAGACTGCTCTGAGCAACATTGGCCAGATTAAATTGTTATATTGTGTACATGTACAATATGTAACAACAATCTCACCATTATGTACAACTATAATGCACCAATTTTTAAAATGTCAAAATAGAAAGAAAAAAGAAGTGAAGAAGACAATGTCTTCTCCCAAAGTCAAATCTATGTAGAAACAAATAATAATAATAATTCCTACCCAACAATTTAAAGTGTTTCATTGCATATATATAAAGAAATGCTAGGCTGGGGTTGTGGTTCAGAGGTAGAGCACTTTCCTAGCTTGTGTGAGGCACTGGGTTTGATACTCAGCACCACATTAAAAAGAAATGCTGTATAGGAAAACAGAAAATAATTCTGCTTGAAAGGGAAATATCAGAAGCTTTATAAAGTAGGTGATGTTTCAGATATACAAGATAAATACAAGTTGGCAAGGCACAGAGAATTGGCATGTTTAAGGCTGAAAAGGCCTGAGGAAGCTATTCATATAGATTAAATGCTGTCTTATTTTGAAGGAAAGTACAAAAAATAATAAGATAATGCATGTGAAAATTCTAATTATACAGTGTAGAACAAATGTCAACCACAGTACTTATCAGCCTATTCAAATGCTTGATACATAGAGTTGGCTCCAGACTTGAACTATGTAACAGCCTTTTATATATCGAGCACCATTTAAAAATAGCCAGTTATATATCCAAACAGTAATAGTGTCTCTCTAGAGGAAAATATTGAATTGCCCTTAGGGGAAAATTCTAATGTATATGGACCTATTTTTCTTACCTTCTTCATGATCTTGAGAATTTGGTGACATCATTTTTGTCATTATATAAAATCAAAAATAGTTTGGTTACCTGTCAGTGACCATTTTGTCCCCAGTTATTGGCAAGATTGGAATGATGTATGGGACATCTTGTGGGTTTACAGGCATTAAAGAGATAAGGATACTATAAATAACTTTATTTTATTTTTTAAAAAAAATTGTAGTCATAAACAGCATGCCTTTATTTTATTTATTTTATGCTAAGCACTCTACCACTGAGCTATTCTAATATATTTGACATCTTAGATGAAATGGACAAATTTCTAGAAAAATGCAATTTATCAAAACTGACAAATAGAAAAATCTGAACAGTACTATAGAAATTTAATTTGCAATTAAGACCTTCAAACAAAGAATCATCAGGTTTTCAAATGACTACATAATCAGTTCTTCCATCCATTTAATAAAGAAGAAACAGCCTGTAATCTCAGCTACACTGGAGGCTGAGGAAGAAGGGTTGCAAATTGGAGGCCAGCTTGAGCAATTCAGCTAGACCCTGTCTCAAAAAAAAAAAGGGCTGGGGATGTAGCTCAGTGGTAGAGTGATTACCTAGCATGTGTGAGGCTCTAGTTTCTATCCCCAGTACCAAGAAGGAAAAAGAAAAGAAAATAAAGCAGAAACCTCAATCAATCTACACAAACTCTTCCACAGAATTAAAAAAAAAAAAAAAAAGAACACTTCCTAACTCCTGTAATGAAAAAAGCATGTCCTTTATACCACAGTATAACAAGGACATAACAAGAAAAGGCAGGTATAAACCAGTATTTCTCATAACTGTGAATGTAAAAATCCTAAACAAATTTTAGCAAATTGAATCCAATGACATATTATAAAGGGGACTATATTATAACCAAAATTAGCTTTATTTAGAAATTAACAGAAAAAAAAAGAAAAATCACAGGATTTTCTCAGTAGACACAGAAAAGGAGATGATAAAATTCCCGTCATGATTTGGATAAAAATTAAAACACAACCCTTAGAGAACAAGCAATGAAAAAGGACTCATTAATATGATGATTTATATTAAAATGTTACAGCAAAATCATACTTAGTATTGAAATATTTTCCTCTGAGTGGGAGAAGATAATAAGAATGCCTATCTCCACTTCTGTTCAACAATATGCATCATAGCTAGGGCAGTAAGAAAAGCAACTAAATGGTTGGTAAGAAAGAAGTACAGCCATATGATATGATTCTATGTGTAGAAAATCTAAAAGAATATAAACTATTGTAACTAATTAGTTAAACATGTTCATTGAAAAAAGATCAATAAACAAATATTAATTGCTCTTGGACACTAAAGTTGGTTTGACATTTAAGAAAAACAATATTTACATAATTTCAAAGTATCTCTCCCCAGGATACTTACTAATTATGAAGAATAAAATGATAATTATACAACAGAGAAACTTGGCAGACACACCTTAACCAAGTAAGTAAACATTGCCAAGTAATCTAACAAATCAATATTATGGAACCCCTGATCTGAAGCACTGAAACACTTTTATCCCTTCTGTGGTGTCACTGACAAAATGCATAATCTGAATGTAATCATGAAAAAACATCAGACAATCCCAAATTGAGGTACATTCTCCAGAACAACTGACCTGATTCCTCAAAGATGCCAGAGTTATTAAAGACAAAACTTAAGGAACCATCATGCTATATTAAAGTATTATAAAGAAACATAAAAACTGAATATAATAAAGGAAATTTTTTTCTTACTATAAATGACATTGTTAGGACAACTGGTAAAATTTGAACAAGGTCTGAAAATTAGATAGTAAAGATGTAATTTTAATTTTATGAGTTTGATTTGTAGTTTATATAGGAAAACATTCTTTTTAGGAAATATCCACTGACATATTTTTAAAAAGGTAAATGATGTCCGCAACTTATTCCCCAACAATTCAGAAAAAAAAAATATCTATTTCAAGAGAGAAAGAAATATGGTAAAACATTACCATTTGAGGAATCTAGGTGAAGGATATATAGAAATAATGTTATTTACAATGAGAAGTTTATAGGAATAGGTGAAGGGTGTATGGGAAAACAAAGTATTATTCACAAAGACATCAGATCCTTACAAATATTGTAAAAGATATCTACACAGAAAACTGCAATACATTGTTGGGAAAAACTTATGAAGGCTTAAATAAATGGAGGATATACCATGTTGGTGGATGATAGATTATTTTAAAGTATCAGTTCTCAAAGTGTTCTGTGTTAGTTGGCTTTTCATCACTATGATCAGAATACCTGTCAAGAACAACTTAGGGAAGTAAAAGTTTATTTTATGCTCACAGTTTGAGAGGTTCAGTCCATAGTCCGCTTACTCCATTGCTTTTGGCCTGAGGTAAGGCAGAATATCATGGCAGAAGGGCATGGTGGAGGAAAACTGGCTTATGGCAGACAGGAAGTGCAGAGAGAAGAAAGAGAGTGGAAGGGGCAGGGCACAACCTGGGTTGTGGGGTAATGCTCCACCTTCCTCCCGTTACTTCCTAGTAATCCATTCAGGTACAACTTTCATCATTGCCTAAAAGCCCCACCTCTGAAACTTTCTGCATTGGGGATCATGCTTTCAAAACAAGAGCTCTTCCAGGGACATTTCTAGATCCAAACCATAACAATCTGCATACTCATTGCAATTCCTATTAAATACCACTAGGCTCTGTGTGTGTGAGAGAAAGAGAGGGAGAAAGAATGAACTGTAAGGCTGATTCTAAACATTTTATTCTTTGGTATTGTGGGGGACTAAACCAAGGGGCACTTAATCACTAAGTTACATCCCCAGCCCTTTTTATTTTTTATTTTGAGACAGGGTCTCCCTAAGTTGCTTAGGGCCTTGCTAAATTGCCGAGGCTGGCTTTGAACTTGTGATTCTCCCCAGCCGCTGGGATTACACATGGGTGCCACTGTGCCTAGCTGATTCTAAACTTTAAGTGGAATGCAATAGGCCAAGAATAATTGGATGGGGAAAAAACGTTAGAGGATTTACACTGTTAGATATTAAGACTTATTACAAAGTTACAGTAATTAAGACTACTAAGAAATAGTGTAAGGAAACTTTGTACATCAGATTCACCATTAGGAGAGTTAAAAAAAAAAAAAAAGCAAGCTACCTATCTGAAGATATTAACATTATATATTATCAGCTAAAACCCCATATCTAGATTAAATTGAATAAATACTTAGTTTTCCAAACTAATGGCTTAGACTATGCAGTTCCAGTTCTAAGTATATACCCAAAGGAGATACAGATTAATGGACACAAAAGGATTTGTAAATGAATGTTCATAACAACACTATTTATAATGCTTGAAAATGGGAAGCACTGTGTCCATTAACAGAATAAATAAGGTAGTGTGGAATACACAGTTACATGCACTATAACTGTAAATAAACAAACTATAGCATACAAAAACCACACAGTTCAGTCTCACAAGCATGATGATTAAGAGAGACTAGAAACAAAAGTACATATGGTATGATATCATTCTTATAAAATTCAAAAAAGGCAAAACTCACTTATGCTATCAGATAACCCCTTCTTCTTGTGTGTGGTCTAGATTTGTCAATTCTAATGAGTAGCATATAGCAGAAGGGATGGAATGTCACTTCAACAAATGACCGTAGCTTCCATCTTGGGATACATCTTTCTTGCCCGACACCCTGCTAGAAGCCAGTCATTATGTCATGAAATGGTCTTAAGATCCACATGTCAAGGGAATGAACCCTACCAGTAACCCTGTGAGTTCAGAAACTCTTGTCTCTTCCATCCCCATTAAGCTTTCATATGAAACTGCACTCTCAGCTAAAGAGCTCAACTGCAATTCATGAGAGCTCTTAAACCAGAGGAACTCGGCCAAATTACACTTGGATTTTTTACCCACATGAATTATGAAGTAATAAATATTCATATTTTTAAGTTACCAAGTTTTGGGGTAACTTGTTATGTAGCAACAGAAAACATAGTGTTTATTTTCAGAAGTTTACTTAGCTGGGGACATGGTGGTACAGGCCTGTAATCTCAGCTACTCAGGAGGCTAAGGCAGGAGGATACCAAGTTTCAGGTCAACCTGGGCAACTTTTCAAAATTTAAATTAAAAAAAATTAAGGGGTGGGTATATAACTCAGAGGCAGAGCACTTGTTCAGCATACATAAAGCCCAGGAATTGATCCCTAACATTGAAAAGAAAAATCTGCTTAAATGCATGTTCTCATAGCAAAAGATCTTTCAAAATGTTTACATTCATATTTAGCTGGTGAAATTGTGAAACATTTTAAAAGTGGCTTTTAGTGCAAGATACTTGCAAAAACCGTACAGCAATATTGGATCTTCAGCAGGTTCAGAAATTGAATCACCATTCTCTTCTTGTTTTTCAGGTTTGTAACTTTGAGTTTGTCTCTAATAATTGATCGTATTTTTTTTGGTCAAGTAAGTAAAAATATATTAAGCTAACAGCTACTTTTTATTTTGACCATTTGTTGTGCTAAAACCTCAAGTTGGATTTTTTTAATCCATTAATATTTCAGAGGCAAATATTTTTTTTTTAAATGCTGTGTGATACATTTTATTAAAAAGACTTTTAGTGTATGCTTTTGGTGCAATTTGCTGTGCTGTTGTATTCCTAGCTGATGTTCAGAAGTCTTTTAAGGCAAAATTTTAAATATTGAAGAGCCAGAGAAATACTATTCTAAAATATTATTCTAAAGTAATAAAACTTAAGAATTTTAATGACTTTGACTCTTAATCATGCAGAAACCACACCAACCAAATATTCTATTCTTCAGTCATTTGGTTTGAGATTTTAATCTAATAACTGTACATAATGGCCTTTGGTTGTTTTTAAATTCCCTTTTTCCCACTTAGAAGTTGGTTATGGCTTTGGAATCCTGTCCATATTTTGAAGCCTAATATTCTTTATTAATAGCCAGGTGATCTTGGACAAATTTCCAACTCTTCTTTCTATGATTCCTTATCCGGGAATAATTGTGACATTTGTCACAATTGAGTAAGATTAAATGACATAACACATAAAATAATAACAGTTCCTGGCTCAAGTGAGCACTTAATTTTACTTGTTATTACTGTTGCTGTCATTATCTGCTTTGTGCTATGATTCAAATTGTCATGTTTGAAGAGTTTTACCTTAGTAGATAATATGTGACATTGTAAGGTACTAGAGTTAATATGGTTAATATGGTTACCACATATACCCTCTACTAAAAGTTAGTTTTAGGATCCTCTCTATCTCTAATTGGATGTATAACATTACCAAACTGTGTGTGAACATTTATTCACAATCTTTCAGGTTCATCTTAAATCTCAAAAACCCTACTGTTTTTAAAAATAACAAAGACCACATCAGTACATAGAGAAGAAAAAACTATAGTTGAGTGATTTCATATAGTCATTAATTAAAATTATTAATGTTAACTATTGCCTGGTTTTTAGACTTAAATTCTGATTGAATATCAAGGTTCTTTCAAATTCCCTCATGCCAGAGTAATGCTTGACACTAACACATTTTTATTTCTTTTACCTTCAACTATTCCAGTGGACTCTGGTTCAGTTTAATTTTTTGAAATTTAACGTGCTGCAGAACTTGGGAACATTCTATGGTTCTCATCCATGGCATTGGTACTTCAGTCAAGGATTTCCAGTTGTCTTGGGTACTCACTTACCCTTCTTTATTCATGGCTGCTTTCTAGCCCCGAAGAAGTACCAGATACTTTTGGTGACTGTGCTATGGACACTGATAATATATAGGTAAGATTTTATTTGTTTAAGTAGTAAATGTTACCATGAAATTAGTTTCTTTGAAAAGTAAACTAATACATTAACTTTTATGATTTGTTAAGAGATTTTTTTTTTGAGAGAAAGAGAGAGAGAATTTTTTTTAATATTTAGTTTTTAGTTTTCAGCGAACACAACATTTTTGTTTGTATGTGGTGCTGAGGATCCAACCCGGGCCGCACGCATGCCAGGCGAGCATGCTACCACTTGAACCACATCCCCAGCCCAAGAGATTATTTTAAAAGTCAGAAGTAGTAGTAATTATGCTGGTGCACATATAAATACTTCAGATAACCAGGATTATACTCAGTTTTTAATTAGTTGAACAAATTTTATTTCCTTAAAAAATTTAAAGGGCCAGAGAAATATTCAAATGAAAATGTATGTATCTGTATTCCAAATTTGTGTACTACTACTTGACTGAATTGATAACAGAAATCTGTGTTAGAATATAATTGTACTTTATAATTTCACTTCGACATTAAATGTCATGATTAGTTTTGACACATCATAATTACCTTATAACTTCAAAATAACAAGACTAATTCCTGAAGAAATTCAATCTCCAATACTTAGAAAACATATAGATCATGTTAATTGTGTTTCATTTTAAATACATTAATTTTTCAAATAATCATGTATCATAATAAAATGGTACATAATATTTTTTTCTTAATATCTTTTATTATTATAGCATGTTGGGCCACAAAGAATTCAGGTTCATCTATCCAGTTTTACCATTTTGTATGGTGTTCTGTGGTGAGTGTTTTTATTAAAATAAAAAATTATATAGTAATAGTTAAAAGACAATAATGCTCATTAACTATTATTTATTTTCAACTAAGCTAAATGAGAATTGCTAATTACAAGCTAATTGTAATTATTTTTTTTCCTGTATCCTATGAAGTCAGATAAAAACATAAGGATATATTTGTAGCTGTTTAAACTAATTTTTGTTGCCTTTACACACAAACTATTTACCCCTTTAAGAGTGACTAATGCCTATGCTTTTTTTTTCCTCCCCTGATACTGAGGATTAACTCCAAGGGTACTTTACCACTGAGCTACATCCCCAGCCCTTTTTTTTTTTTTTTTTTTTTTTAAATATTTGTTATTTTGAGACAAGGTTTCACTGAGTTACTGAGGCTGGCCTCAAACTTGCGATCCTCCTGCCTCAATCTCCCAAATTGCTGGGATTACAAGCATGCATCATCACACCTAGCCGTGAATATAGATTTAAAAGAATTCACTCCTGTGATTTTATTTTTGGCCCTTTCTCTATTTTTCCATGAGGTATACGCATTGTAGTTTTTACCTGTGACTTTTTTAAAATATCTTATTTGACTTAGCTCAAAAAAATCTGAATTTTTGCATTGATTGATTTGGGAAAATTAAGAATTAAAATTTTATTAACTTCAAATTTAATTCAAAGTAAATTTGAATTTACTTTAGCTTCCTTCAAATAGTACAACCTTAATAAAATAATAACTGAATTAGGAGGGAAAGAAATGAATTACCAACTTGGACTGGGACTGGAGACTGGAAAAAACTACGGAGTTACAAATCTAAGTCTTAATTTTACTTAACAAAAAAAGTCCAGATGACCCATTGAGTTAGGTAGCCTTCTTTGACCAAGTACACATCAGCTCCTACAGATTACAGATGTATGTACTCTCTACTATTTAGATAAATATATACATCTATGTATGTGACTTATATGAAGTACTGAAACCAAACCCTCAAATTTTGTTATTGTAGTCTTACTTCATATACAAATACACATTTGACAAATTTTTTTTAAATATATATCTTTATTTTATTTATTTATTTTTATGTGGTGCTGAGGATCGAACCCAGTGCCTCACGTGTGTGAGGCAAGCGCTCTATCACTGAGCCACAACCCCAGCCCAGCATTTGGCAAATTTTAATAATAGTGGGTCCATTTACCAGAGGAAGTCTTTTAACAAATCACTTTAGATTTTAAAGTTTTTATTTTTACAGTGACTTGAGCATTAGTTATAATTAAGCATTGTTAGAGTACTGGAAGACAAATGTGTGTGTGTCCCCATCTGTCAATCTGTTTATGGTTTGGTTTGGTTTATTTAGGAATCTGGGTGTTTCTGTGTCCTCTTCTGTGTCCTGTTTCTTATAAAGCATTTACAGAAATGTCAAAGTGTCTGAATCCTCATTCCCAGTCCATAAGTTTGAGTCTTTTAAGTGGGGGGATGCCTGTAATTAGGCCCTATTCTGAGTCTCAAAATTTGAGATAAAATTTGATGAAGGCATGAAAAGACCCCATTTTAATGGATTTTTATCCATTTCTTGGTCTGGGAGTATAGTTCAATTGTAAAGCACTTGCCTAGAAAGTGTGAGGCCCTGGGTTCAATCCCAAGCCCCACAATCACCCTTTCATTAAGTATCTATTCAGGATGGAGACTTAGAAAAACACCTCATCTCCTCACAAGGTGTTCTCTTTTCTCCAGACACATAGAACTAACATTCTAGGATGGGCCCAAAGAATCTCTGATTCCTAGATAATTTGTACTTCCACTAAGAGTCAACAAACCTTTACTGCCAGGAGGTTCCAGCAGGAGCTCACCTAGACAGAAATCTGGACATTCAGGAAACACTGTCAGAAAAATGGCTCTTTGCAGTTCTTGGTGTTTTAAATGATGAAACTTGAAACTTTCCTGACACCTGAAATTGTTATATCACAAATCTGAGCCTTAATCTGTTTGTATGACCTATTTTAACCTTATTTTATATAAAAAAAAAAAAGACAACTTTGTCAGCCACTGATGTCTAATAAGCCACTTCAAAACTTAGTGGCTGGACCAGGCATGTTGGCTTGTGCCTGTAATCCCAGCTAATTGGGAGGCTGAGGCAGGTGGATTGCAAGTTCTAGTCCAGCTTGGACAAGGTAGTGAGACATCATTTCCAAAAGAAAAACACTTAGTGGCCTAAAATTCCATATAGTATTATTTACAAGTCTACATTTCATTTGTACAGTTGTTCTCATCTCTGCTGTGCTCACTTATGCAGATGTGACCAGTTATAGATTGACTAGACAGCTCTGTTGACCTAAGCAGGGCTCTCATATGTCTGGGATCCAGTTGTTGGCTAAGGCTGACAGCTCTTCTGTTCTTTCATCCTCCCATTGGCTAGCTGAGGTCTATTCACTTGGTATATCCAGGATCACTAGAGAGGGATCCCTGGCTCTGAATTTCCATCACATTTTCTTTGCTCAAAGCAATTCAAATGGCCAGGCCAAACCATTTGATAGGGAAATAATGGAACTGAACATAGGAAGAATAATAAATTATAGCAGGTGTTTTTTTTTTTTTTTCAGTCTGCAGTAACTTATCTTGCTTAGTCTGAATTTTCCTCAGTCCTCTAGGATTCTGTAAACATACCTTCTATGATTGGTTGTGATCTGTAGTGACATGTGTAAAACTGTATCTCAAGTTTACCTGTAAAAGGAAAACTCTGGCTTAAAATTGCTGAAATTCTTAGCTTATGCCTCTCCTCTCAAACTAGATACTGATGTTTCTAGTACGTGCTGCCAATTCTGAGTTGGGTATCAATTAGTTTTTAACACAGTGGCCAAGGTAGACTTGCTTCTCTTGGATTAGGCCACTTTGTTTTTTATATTCTGATCTTGTTATTGAAATTGCACATGCACACTGTTTGAATTGTCATTCCTAAGTAGTTTGTTTAAAAAAAAAAAAATGATCTTCCTCTGCACTCCCTCCTAAAACTCCCCACAAGCAATCACTTAAACATTCTTTTAACAGGTTATTTTGGTATTTACCTCCTTATTTCTAAATAAAATGCTTACAGTGCTACCTAATGATCTTTGTTTTGGACATCATCTATTTACTTCTCATTATACAACATGAAAATACAACTTGTTTCCTTAGGAAAGTAGCAACCAAAATTCATCCTAATACCACTGTCCTTACCCAGTACTTTCATTGTGGTTAAAAGTTCAAAGTCTCACCATTTACCCATACCTGTCCTCTTAAATCCCACTCCAAAATTAAACTACTCTTTCTCTCATGTAATCACTGAAACTAAACTGACCTAACAGCTTTCTCAGGGTATTTGAAAGTAGAAAGATTAACTCATATATTTTCTAATTGGTAGAAAGTAGTAGAGAACATAGTAGAGATTTTTTTCTTAACATTAGGTTTTCTGATAATTCTTGCCCAAACCAGGATGCATCCTTGCCACTCCTCAGTAAATGTGATGGTAATTAGTAATGTATTGGCTTTCCCATCATTGTCCACTGCCATGAACCATAACTTGGTGAGAAGAAATTCATTAATCCTTGCTGGAGAATAATTGCCATGCTAAATATCCGAAACTAAAGAATGTATGTCAAGCTAAATAATATCTGATTTGGAGGCATGGCTGAATAAAAGGGCCAACTTACACAGGGCCTTCTTATATACTCTTATTTCTGCATGTTCTACATCCATGGATTCAAAAACTAGCCAAGGATTAAAAATATTCAGGAAAATGTACTGGCAGACTTTTCATTCTTATTATTCTATAAATCACCATCATCACTATTTCCATAAATAATATGTCACTATTTACACAGTATTAGATATTTTAAGTCATCTAAAGATGATTTAAAATAATCAGGGGAATGTGCATAGGTAATATGCATATCATTTTATATAAGGGACTTCAGCATTTGAGGATTTTTGTTCTTTGGGGAGTGGTATATTCTAACCAGACCCCTGTGGATACTGAAAGAATGTATACTCAAGTTTTTAGATTTGTCCTTGAAAGTAATCAACTGGGATTTAATGGATTTACAGCACTTTTTTTTTTTTAACAGAAGTCTGATGAGAATTTGATAAAAACTATGTTACTGTAAAATAAAATGCTCATGGTACAAATATAAATATACTAGTGGTTGGTCCGTAACCACCTAGCCTGTTCTCCAATGGTAAACTATTATCACTTATGCAATTCACCCAGAGATATTCTACATACCTACTTTAAGAATTTGAAAGCGATGTTTGGCATCTAGTTAGCAACAAGTTAGCCAATGTGTGAAGTGAAAGGCTCCATATTTTGAGAGCTAATCACCAGAGTTCATATAAAGTCCCACATCTTCAGTGACTGGCAAAATCTCCAATTTTAAGTCAGGTAAAGCATCATTGATGTGGTGGTGATTACTACTTTCTGAAGCTAGGTCATTTGAAAGTGGATCATTTCAGTGAAAACTATTTTGCTGTATTATTTCAATTTCAGTTAAAAATGCCTACTGAGTGACAAAATCTAGTATCTTATAATATGTATTGAAGAAACTGTTACTTCCCTGTAAAAAACAAACGTGCATCTTAGCCTTTTCATGGCTCACTCATTAATATAATTGTGTCTAACTCTCCCTTTAATAACTTCAAATTCTGAAGTTCCCTTGGTAAACTTTGATTGTCAGATGATTTGAAAACCCTTAGAGACTTAAAATCTGCATGTTAGACTCAATAGCCATAAGCTAAAATACCACACCACAGTATCTTTTACTAGAAAGATTCAGACCTAGATGACAATACAATGATAGTGAATGGTCACAAAAATTATGACTTACTGCTTATTTTTTGTGTCTACAACAGCATTGCAGTTTATGCCGTTTCCATGAAATTACAAATGTATCTGCAGTTAACATAAGAAACCAAAAGATTGCCAGTTTTACAATTCAATGTACCTATCTTCATATAGGATACTCACTAGCCCACCTGAAAGCATGGAAAAAACCAGCTCTAAGTTTCCTGTTTTTATCAAATATGTTCCTCGCACTCTATACTGGTTTAGTTCATCAACGAGGTACTCTTGATGTCATGAGTCATATTCAAAAAGTCTGTCACAACAGTCCCAATAAATCTTCAGCCTCAGTATTTATAATGATGCCTTGCCACTCTACTCCTTATTACAGGTAATAAAAGTTGTTATATATGTTATTATTGAGAAAATAAAACTACTTTAAAATTCTCAGATTTCAATTGATCATTGATCAAATGATAAGAAAATTTAAACTTCCACTCATTTATTTACTGTACTTTAAAAATCATTTATTCTATCAATGAAAATCATATTTTTAAATACTTTTTAAAAAGTTTATACTTAAATTTTATTTACACAACGTTGAATTAATCTCAGAACACTAAATTCTAGTTCAGATTTGCATTTGTACTTTTGTCTCAGTCTTAAACCAGTCTTTTAATCTTCTGGAGCATCAGTTGTCTCATCCATAAAAATCAGGGAGTACAATTAAGTGATAGTCTGTCTAATGCTTGAATTAAGTATTCCTAGGAAATATAAAATACTAATGTTGCCTTACCGTACAAGGCATTCAAAAAGATATCCATTTGGTCCTATGATTGTATTCCAAGAAGCTATCCTAGTTACCAACAGTCAATAATGGTACAGGAGCAAAGCAACTAGCTTCCCCAAATAAAATTCTACAACTGTTTAACTTAACCGGGCTTCAAACAATCTGGAGTTGATAGTCAATGTGCACATTAAATTAATATCACCATGGATATAATTTTAAGAGAATTTAACATTTTGGAATACTCAAGTGCCAATCATAAACACATAATTTACTAAGTTGGAATTGCCTTGCAAAAGCCACAGGCTAAATGGAAGACCTCAAGTATTCCTTCAACTTGAGGATTCTTTTCTATATAGTCCTCTCAAAATAAATTTTATATTATATACATTATACATATGCTTATCTACTTACCTATCTATGTACCTATATAGAGATATATAGATATATGCATGCTTAGTGGGGAACATTTGCTGTCCTTCCATGTTCATGTTGGTGGTACAGGAATTCTAGTGGTAACAAGATATTCTCCATATATAATAGGGGTTGAGTCTTTCACTTTTGTATAGTTAATATTATACTTTTCTGTGTGTGGTACTGGGATTGAACCTGGGGTATTTTGCCACTGAGCCACGTCCCTAGCTGTTTGAGATAGGGTCTCACTAAGTTGCCCAGGCTGGCCTGGAATTGTAATCCTACTGCCTCAGCTTTCCTGAGCTGCTGGGATTACGGGTGTAAGCCACCACCCCCAGTTTCTCATCTTGTACTTTTTCTTTTTTTTTTTAATTTTTTATTGTTGGTTATTCAAAACATTACATAGTTCTTGATATATCATATTTCACCCTTTGATTCAAGTGAACTTTTTCAAAGCACATCTGAAAAAAAACTAAAAACAGAAGGCCCAGTGCCCATTCCAGATTAAAATTCTCAGGAATTTCTGCTTTTCATCTCCAAAACCATGAGTTATGAAGTAGCAAGTCTTTAATTCAGTTGATATGCATCTCACAGATAAATCTCCATAATTTTACTTCATTTCTAACTGGGTCTTTTTCTCTTTTTTTTCCCCCGCTGCCTGCGATTGAACTCAGGACTTGCACCTGCTAGGCAAGCACTCTATCAGAGCTACATCCTAGCCCTCTAATTGAACATTTTAAATCTTTTTATCAAGTTCGGTTTTTTCCTCAGACAATTAAAAACATGGAATTTTGCATGGCCTTAAAGATAAATCCATCTTTTTATACTCTATACCACAATAAAACCATTACTTAGATTGTTAATCAATGAACATTTGTTGCTCCCTATTAGTAATCTTACATAAGTATGTAAAACTTGTCATTTAAAGATGTAATCCATCCTCTTTCAGACCAGAAAGGCAAGAAAGCAAAAATTCCTTTTCATTATTAACCACTTTCCTACCTTGCCCAATAAGCCTATAGAGAATTACTGTATAATGAGGTAACTTACCTGATCCCAAAGAATATTTGGATTTTTGGAACAGTACTCTGCTGCTAAATTATTTACTTTGTTCCTTGAAATGGGAGTTTCATGTTTAAGTTTGGACTTGTTGTTTATGCCGTGGAGAATCATGTTCTCCATGTTTGGTAATATGTATTAAGGACTTCCTTCTTCACATTAATTGGAATTGCTGACTGTTACATGCTATATCTTAAGAGTAACAGAAAACATTCACCATGTTTTTTAACCTCTTGTAAATATTATGATAACATTTTTCTCATAGCCATGTGCACTGTCCACTTCCAATGAGATTTCTCCAGTGTCCCCCAGACTTGACTGGGAAAAGTCAGTATCTTGATGAAGCAGATACATTCTACCTAAATCCCTTAATCTGGTTACATAAAGAGCTTCCTGATGATGCATCACTGCCTACTTACTTGATCATTTTCAATGTTTTGGAGGAGGTAAGTAAACATGAAAAAGAAAAAAAAACTCAGTGTTTTTATTCAACCCCAGGTTTAGCAAACACACAGGTAAAAAAATAACATAAGCTATTTTATAGTCTTTTTCAACCCCCATATTCCATAATTTGTCTTTTTCCCAGTCAAAATCAGCCCCAGTTCTAAAACTGTCGAGATATGTTTGTTATTATAAGTTAATTCTTTTATTAAAGGAATCTTGTTTTATTCTGAGTGAATAAAGGAAATGTGTTGTTATAGATACACAATTTTGTTCTTGATGGCTGAGTAAAAACTCTTGTGTCCTTTTCAGGAAAGTAGATGGAACTGGAGATAATCATACTAAGTGAAATAAGCCAGACTCAGAAAGTCAAGGGCTATTATGTTTGCTTTCCTTTATGTGGCTGCTAGAGAGAAAATGGAAAAAACACAAGGGTAGGGGAATCTCATGAAAATATAAGGGAGATCAGTAGAGGATGCGGGCCAGGGAAAGGGAGAAGAAGAGGGAAAGGAGAGGTACTGGGGAATGAAATAGACCAAATTGTGCTGTGTGCATCCATGAATACAACACAATGCATCCCACTACTTTATATAATTATAATGCACCAGTAAAAAATTTTTTAAAAAAGAAATATTGTTTTATGAAGAAAAATGTTGCAGAGGAGCGATTAGAATGGACAGTTCTAAAATTATTTGAAACAGTACAACAAAATGTAGCCTTTATTTACTTAAACATTTATTTACTTCTAGGAAATAAGTACTTTCCTAATTTCAAGAAATTATGAGAGAACTGCTGTTTTCTTCCACACTCACTTGCCGGAGGGTCGAACTGGAAGTCACATATATGTCTATGAAAGAAAACTTAAATGGGGAAATCAACAGAAGATGAAATTCTAAATTGTGTTTACAGCTTCTCCAGAGAAACTGACATTTCTGGGTAGAAATATTCAGGTGCTGCTAGACACTTTAGTCAACACCAAGTTTAACTCCTGGAATTTGCAAAAAGCCACTGTGGATTGCTTTACCAAATATCACTACTGAGAAATTGTATAAAATATCACAGAATAAGAAATCACATATTAATGCAATGCCAGATTTTAAATAAAGACCTTTAGTTTTCCTCATGGTGTAGTTTTATTATTTCTTCCATAATATTCAGATGTGCACGAAATTTCACAAGAGAACAAGTCAGCAAGCTCTTAAGAGGGCAGCAAATTCTTCACAAGTGAACAGGCTCTTGAACCCACAAAAAGACAAGAAGTGTAAGATTATAAAATGTTAAGAGATGAAATCCCATCACAATGTACTTTCTATTACTGCAAAACTCTAACACAATCAGTGTTAATCACACTTTGTCACATATGAGACGAGCTTGCTTTAAGCTCATACACTGCTAGGAAGTCTCATTTCATGCACAAAATCTGTTGCGTGCCTGGTTTCTTTAATGAAACTTTTTTCCAGTGCAAAAAAAAGAGGAAAAAACGTTCAACAAAGCTAAACTACTGGAATATGCAGGTTAGTAAGCTGTTGATTGATGCTTCTGTGTAATAATATAAATACAAAGCGACCAAACTGAACTTTTAAAAATGAAAGACAGACACTGTCATCTTGATAATTTGATCTTAGTTTAAACACCAGATATTGTAGAAACCATCCATGTCTCTCTTAATTTTCTAATTTAACTTAATCATGAATCAGTATTTAGGATCAAAAGGTAATTGCCCCAATTCTATTTCAAGATTTGCCATGTGTCTTCCATTAGTGCGACCATATTTATGCCATTTACCTTCCCTTTTATAAGGCTGTGGTTGAAGGTGCTTCTGCTCTTGTTTTCGATGCCTGGAGTTTTCAATATTTACCATACGTTGCTTTCTATCAGGTCGACTGAAAGTAGTAAACACATTTTTCATCTATGTTAGAGTTCAATTTATTTAAATAAAAACCAATTTTAATGTTTTTCTCCATTAATCTATCTGAACATTCTGCAAAAAGATGTTAATACAGTATAATCCTATTATGTCCATACTATAAAGCAGGGGAGAGGGAGTTCAGTGAGTATTATACATTTTTTTACCCTTTAGAAAGCAAAAACAGACAAATGTAACTGTACTGACAAAAGGGAAAATACTGAGGAGATAATAAGAATAGAATGTGACAATAAAATAATGAGATGTGTTTCCATTATTTTCCTCCTCTCCAAAAAAAAAAAAAAATCAATCCTCCCCCATTGGCTTCATCCCTCACAGAAATATACACACATCTCTTACCAAAAGAGGCTCTTAACTTTCTTTTATAGCAAAAATTCACAACATCTGCATTTCTTCCCTCAGTTTCCATGAGCAGGTTTCTGTCACTACATTATGGCAAGTCCATAATGCTATCCTGGGCACTCAATTCCCAAACCAAGAAATATTTTCAGTCCTCAACTTTTAAAGCATTTGACGCAATTTAAATATTACTTTTACTTGGGTTTTCATGATTCTATTCTGTAGTCTCACCCTTCTCAGACTTCTCTACAACCGCACCGATGTTGGTGTTCCCCAAGGGTCTGATAAATACCTCCAGTAGAGACTGTCTTCACACACACACACACACACAGACACACACAGAGTTTGGGCCAGAAAGGCAGAAACATTAATTGACTGCCAACTAATCCTCTCTAATTGATGTCAATAGATACCTTCACAACTTTTACAATGTGCCCAAAAGCACATTCCTGCATTCCATATCTGAGTGATATCACTATCCACAAGGTAGCCCATCCCAGAAATCTAGAAGTCATTGTTACTTTCTACTTATCTTGCACAAGAAATAACTATTTAACTATTTACCTACTGTGTAACTGTCTTTACTCTTTATATCTTAGTTCTAATACTCATCAGCTCCCAACTATTATACTGCATTCTAGCTTCACACCTTTCCAATGAATCCTCCAGGCTGCTGCCAGTAATCTAGAAGGTCATCTAATTAATCTATAATTCCACTCTACTTCAAAATTCTTCAGAAATTCTGCATATCCTGCAAGACAAATCCTTTAGCATAAAACAAGGCCATCATGATCTTTTTTTCATCCCCCCTGCACTACCTTGCTTCACATTTCCAAGGCTTTTCAAGTGAAAACTCAACAAGTTTATTTCCAAGGCCACCTCATCATGAAGCTTTTCCAGACATCTTCAGACACCTGAGGCCACCATATATGTGCCTCCATATCTTCATTTAATTTTCTGTATCTGCCTAGCTTGTGAGCTTGTTTACATTAAGAAATTTTCAATTTGTTTCCTCAAGACAGCCTCCCAACACTTTGCTCATTACAGCACTAGATATTGAATAACTAAAGACAACATAATCAGTCTCATTATTTTATAGACACATTACATTTATTCATAAAAACATATAGATATATGTATCTCAAAGGTAAAAAGTGAAGCTAACATTTCAGTATTAGAGTTTCATGTTACAGAATAAAAAGCAGATAAACAATGGATTTAAAAGTTATTATGAAGTATACACATTAGAATTTCTGGCTTGCTGAGTTTGCCTCTTTGATCATGCCACTACCCTTATAAATAATTCTGTAGTAAGTATTACATATAATAATTAAGTTGGAATATGAAATGGACAAATGACAACAGGTGGGGCACTATAATTGTTACATATGTGAGCTCTTCTGATTTCAGAGTAAAATTTGTGTTGTTCGCTCCTAGCTTCCTAAGGTGAATAAAGAAATTAAAGGAAAATAATTCCACTTAAGGTAATTATCTTTTCATATCAACTATACTAAAAAGAAACATAATTAGCCAAAATAGGATTTCTATATCCATAACTAATTTTTAAGATATAAATCAAACCATCTGTTTAAATCAGTGATTGTTATATTAAATTTTCAGTTTTTAATACTTATAAATTTAAAACTATCTTTCAATTTATTCTAAATTTTCAGGAATAATAAAGCATGTCTTTTAGAAATAGTAACCTAAGAAACTCATCAAATGATAAAAATGCTACCACAATATAAAATTGTTAGAAACTATTATAATAACATGGTTTTATGTAAACCGACCTGGGTCCATATGGAGGGGGAAAAGTGTGACCAAAGAAGTGTCTATATATATATCCATCCAGCTTCTCAAACACTCCTTCATTATCTACTTGATATTCCTTCATGTCTTTAAGATAATCCTTAACATCATTAACAAAGTCCGTGAAAAGCTTCTGATCATGGATAAAGACACCATTTAGGAAAAACTTGTTGATGAATTGATCTAGTTCTTTCCAATGATGAAAAGCATCCAATTCTTTTAATAAGTATCTTTCAATTAACTGTCTAAATTCATCAATCCTTACAGGATTCATCATTACCTTAAAAGGATTAACGGATTCTTGTTGAGCATATTCAAATATACCAGAACAAGCCTTTCTGAGATAACTTCCCCTACAGTCATCATGCTCAGCACTGCACTTCTGTAAATTTGTATTTTTTCTAAATTCTTCAAAGTGAGTTGGCTTCTCTTTCCTTCCTTCCCTTTGCAGAGTAGGGCCTCCACGATTCTGGTCTTGCATAGGTGCCTTATTCTGTGGATGTAAACAGTCACGAAAAACTGTTCTTGGTTTTTCCGCTGTTTCTTCTCTTGGAGCACTAAATCTTTTGTTGCCCTTTTCATCAAAGATATTCTTGGTGGTATCTTTGAAATGTCGGAAAGTGGATTTAACTGAATCTGAAAACTTTTTCAGATTTTCCTTCACAGCTTCTTTAGCCTGCTTAATTTTTTCTTTATGATGCCTCACAAACTCCTTGGTAGAATTCTTCATGGCATCGAATGTTTCCTTAACCGTTCCCAAAAATGTTTCTTTTGACTTATTCTTAGCCCTATGGTTTCCTCTGCTACCTTTCTTTTTTCCATCAGTTTCTTGTTTTCCATTCTGATCTTTTGCCTCAACATACAGTCTTTCCCACAAATCAGAACGCTGCTGTTCAAAGTTTAGTTTCTGCTCCAGCTCAGTGAGTCTTTCCTGTAAGACTGCTATTTCCTTTTTTTCAGTCAATATATTGGGAGAATCTAAGTTGTCTTGTGACTGACTCGTGCTTAACTGCTGAAGTTCCACCCTTAAAGTCATTGCTATCAGTCGTTCTCTCTCCAGTTCTCTCTTTAGCATCTTAGTTTCTGCCAACAGAGTCTCCCTTTGACTAAGGAAGCTGTGCACTTTCTGTTTTTCCTCTTCTAAATGCTGCTTAAGTTTCTGATTTTCTGTAACTAATTCAGTATTTCTTCCTTTGTCTTCCAATATTCTAATCTGTTCTCTTAACTTCATTAACTCTTCCTGTAATGCAGATATGGCTTTCTCTTCCTTCTCCAGAGATATTCTTAAATACTGATTTTCTGTAGCAAGATTCTTTTTCTGAGTATCAAAGGATATCTTCTCTGATTCAGTAAGAGTCCAACACCTTGCAAGGTTTTCTTTCAATGACTAAATTTTTTTGAAAGAGAACAAAAATGTCAAGTGTTTTAAAAGCTGCAATTAAATCTTTAAATACATCCTATTAACTTTAGTGTCTTTATTTCTACAAGTCCTGTGTCCTGTGTACTATTTCAACAGTATAAAACTAGAAATCACTAAATTTCATATAAAAGAAAATGCAGTGCAGAGAATTATATCAAATTAAGAAAAATAGTATGGTGGAAGAATTTATAAAGACAAGGAAAAGTTATCTAGAGCTCAGTTAATCCCTAAATATAAGACCAGCAGAGTAGAATAAAGGAATAAGGACATACGGGGGACTGAACTGGAGCAAATTATAGTTCATGCTTATATAATTATGTGAAAATTAACCCTGATTTTATAATTTTATATATAACTATAATGCACTAATAAAACAAATAATAAATGGCTATCCTTTCCCGTATGGGGAAAAAATATATATAAGCAGCCCGAGATATAGCTCAGTGGTAAGAGTGCTTTCCCAACATGTCTGAGGCCCTGTGTTTAATCCCCAGCACTGCAAAAGAAAGAAAAAATGAGGAGTGCCTCTGATTGAGGCTTCTCATAATAATATGAAGTTCTTACTAGCTTCAAGCACCATTTATATGTTAGAAGAAACAGAGTAGTCTATTTTTTGAATACAGGATGCTCTCCAAAAAAAAAAAATCCTAAAGAATATAGATCAGACTAAGGGTTTTTCCATTTCTTAAATTAAGAAAGTTATCTTTATAAAAAGTAACATGTCATCTAGAGCTGACTTAAGGCTTCCAAAAATTGAGTTTGTAATATATGATGGCACACTCCTACTCAGAAGGCTGAAGTAGGAATATCATAAATTGGAGGCCAGTGTCAGCAATTTAGTGAAACACTGTCTCAAAATTTTGAAAAAAAAAAAAATTTTAAAGCTGGGTATGTTGCTCAGTGGTACAGTGTTTGCCTGGCATTCACAAGGTTCTTGGTTTAGAAACACTTCAGATATTCTTAGTCCTAGTTGAAACATTTTAATCCTATAAAAACATTTCTAGATAAGGGCAGAATTCTACAAGCACTGAAGGACAGACTAAATCTCTGAAATATAAGTCATTTCCCGAATTTCAAGTCACTATAAACCAGATTACAGTTAACTCTATAATCTGTACAAATTAACTCTGAAGATTAATATATAGATTAATGTAACTCTGAAATCAGCACCCTTTGACAGAGAAACTGCTCAATCAGGTTTATAGAATTCTACTGTAGCTAAGCCTGGTGGCACACACCTGTAATCTCTAGCTACTCTGGAGACTGAGGCCGGAGGATAACCAGTTCAATGACAGCCTGGGAAATATAACAAGACCCTGGCTCAAGATAAAAAAAAGTGGGGAAGGGTAGGAAGGTAGCTCAATGATAAAGCACCCCTGGATTCAATCCCAAGCACTGAAAAAAAAAAAAAAAATCTATGTGTAAATCTACAAAGTGATATCTAACTTTGGCTTAATTTACTATAGACATTATGGCTAATCCTATTTGAATCAGACAATAATCATAATCTAATTTAACAAGAAAAAGGATGGAAAAAAGCTCAATAGAATAATAGCATTTTACATTTGAAAAATAATTGAAATGGTTGCTTCACTGTTTAACTCAATCTTCAAAGGACAAATTAAGATTTTAAATTCAATCATAATTATTTCATCTGCTCTACCTGTCTGAGACAACAAATTTCAATAGCACTAGACTATGGAGTAGAAGAGCCCTATGTAATGTAATCTTTTATTGCACAAACACAGGAAGCCACAGGGGAACTGAAGAATTCAGCATTCCTCATATATAAACTTGATCTTGAAATTAAGTGATTGACAAGTAGAGATTCGGGGCAGGTCTTCCAAACAGCTTCAACACTGGAACCACACTTAATAGGAAACGAGATCTGAAAAAATTCTCTAAAGACATATGTCCTGTAAAAGCCAATGCCATCCTCCAGAACCAGAAACTAAAAAAATGGCACCTTGTTAAATACTTGGAAAAACTGCACCACTGAAAATTCACTTTAGCAGTACTCCCTGAAAGATACAATTTGAACATAAACCAGGATTCTGTCTTTCCAAGAAATGTAATCATAAACCTATAAAGTACACGTACATAAACTATAAGGGAGATATGGTGGAATGGATGGAAAAATCAACAGCTTAAATTTTCTATCCTGAGTTTACTATCATTCCTTTACCACCCTTCCTAGGGAAGAACAAAATATGAAACCAACTATTTTTCTTAACCTCAAAAACCACCTAAGGTGTCAGGTAAGGAGACAGAATTGACTGTATAGTCCTGTTGAAGTTAGGTGAATTTTAGGTAGGAAAATACACATGCCCTCCATTCTGTCAGATCTAACAACAACAAAAACAGTTAAAAATACTGGCCATTTCACCCAACAAAGAAGATCCTGGAGCAGCTATAAAGCCCCAGCTCTTGAGAATATTTTACTGAGCTCTGTGAGAACAATGTTAATAAAGTGGTGTGTACGCAAAAATGTGTGCATGAAAAAAACATATATCTAGAATGTCAATTTTAAATGATGCTATTTTAATACAACAGTTATGAAGAAAGGCCTCTGAAATTAGAGACTTGGAAACAAATAGCTCTCCTTACCATCTATAAAATGAACTTAATGCTTGCTTAAATCACAATATTGTTATAAAAAATAAGAGATACACAGTGCTTTCCTGATAGTGACTAAGATATAGTAAGTACTTAATAAACAATTACCAATATTACTAATTTTCACTGTACTTTTTATTTAAATAGTACAAATACTAACAATTATTTTTAATATTTTTTAGTGGTACACACCTTAGAATCTATAAAAGGTCCTTGTTTCTTTTGGCATTGAGAAAGATAATCCTTCATATCATTCAGTTCATCTTCGTGTATCTTTCTGACTAATTCTTGGTGTTTCTGAATCTGAATTGTGCCTAAAATGAAAAATTTTTATTAGAAGCATGAAACATTATGATCACCAGTATTTTAAAATATAGAAAACATTTCATCTAAATATAATCTGTCTCTAAATCTAGATAAAATCATTTTTCAAAGTGTTAGCATTTTGTTTCTTTAAAAATCCAGATTTTTTATAAACATGGAATAAATATGATATCATTCATCAAATGATGATGGAGGTTAGTTATAATACAAACCAGTCCAAATAGTCAATGTATTTAGTATAGATCCAGGAACATTTAAGCAGTTCACTAGCCTTTTGATTAAAATGAACACACCAGCCTACATTTACTCTAACAAGAAATAATTTATTAAACATTCTTACTATATTGAAGACATTCAGATTTGTCATTTTGTGGGTACCTTTAAGTATGTAAATTATTCAAAATCCCTTTACACAGAGAAATAAACAATTGGTAGTGTTTTTTCCACAGGTTAAAAGTAAACATGAAAACATAAAATTTCTATGTGTGTCTCTCTAATATGCTGCCTAAACGATACAACAAGCCCAAAAAGTACATCATAGAAAACAACTGTCTGGTACCTACCATTCTCAAAGCCAAATCTTTTAAGAACTCTGCAATGGTTAAATCTGTAGTGGAGTACCACTGTCCCTATCCCAGCAATGATAAAGGAAGACTCCTTTATTTTCACCCTAAAATCAAAATGTTATTTTGCCAAGACATGCTGTTCACATGCTCCTACAAACTTCATGCATGGACAAAACAAAACAAAACACTAAATCAAAAATAGGGCAAAACGCATCCAGCAGCATTAATATTACTGAGTGGACATACCATTATGAAGAGATGTCATACAATTTAAAAATAAAAGGATATAATGGTAGTTTACCGTGTTTTCCCCTCTTTACTGCTACAAAAATTATTTTAAAATGTCTTCATCTTGAAAAATATCAAAAACTTTTAACAACTTACAGATAACTGTTGGATAGTATAAACACTATATGAAATATGAATATGAAATTCTGCATTGATTCATTTATTTTTAAGTTTTGTTTATAGAATTCATTGTTTCAAAATGACTCAAAAGAAATTCAGGGTTTTTTAAATGTTGAAATACTCTTATTTATAATACCCAGAGTAACCAGAAAACTTCTATTTTAAAGAGCTAACCAGACGAATTCCTTTGTCCACTGGAAAATAACCAAAAACCATAGTGAGAGTTGAATGTGAGATATTATTAACATAGCATATGCTTAATGACTGTCTTAATGTGGTCCTTTAATCTCACTAATCACTGGGGCTTTTCTCCTTGCATTTTCAGCTGCCTACCCATAAAGTATTACCTCTTCAAGATACTATCTTTGGCATAGTCATGCCTACAAACACTACTTTTCTCAACACATTAACCCACTGTCAGTTTTTCTGTCATTCATGTTAAGACATCTCAGATACAGATACAGTTGCAATCTCTGACCTGAGCTTCTAGCCAATAATATCCAGGTGCCTATTAGGCACAATTCTGAGGGCCTCTTTATAGTAGAAAAAAAGTTAAACTTTGACACCTACTTCAACCATTCTAGAATTAATCTGAGTAAACACAATCCAAACTATGCTTACCACCTATTTATCATCTAGCAAACCCTTTCTCATTAACTCCCAATTCCAAAAACAAAGCAGCTAGCACATTTCTTAGAATTTAATAAACTTACTATCCAGATTCAAAGTCCTATCTTCTATTACTCTTTCAGTGTCCTTACTTTATTAATCCCTCTATCCCCACTGTCACTATAGTTTTCAAGGCCCTTATCATCAAATATTTGGATTACAAAACTCCTAGAAGTTCTACTTTGTCCCATACCATTTATCTTCCTGTACTTTTTCTTCTTCTAACAATATCACTGTCAAATCACTCAATAAATCAAATCAAACTCTCCTACCCAGATTCCAAGATGTGATACAATCTAGTATCACCCCACCTCTCCCATTATTTCTAAACAACTATTCCATAGTTCAGGCAATCCTCCATTGTTATGAAACCAAAAAGTTTACTTTTTCTGCAAGTTATGAGGTTCTCCATTACTAGAATGTCTCACCTTCCCTTCTGCCCATCATAAGCTTGCTAAGACTAACCCAATTTAAATCCTACCACCTCTAGGATGACTAAGTAGGTATAGCCTTTGAGCAGTAATTCATTTCTGTTATAACTTAGCATCCAGTTGTCTGCTGAAGAACTGAACAGCCTATCAATACTTAAAGCAACTCCATGAGAAAACCAAATCAAATGAACTCCACTGATAATTTAGTGTATAGTCTGCAAGTAAAGATAATAGGGAAGGTAAGTGTATCATAAAGATATAATCATCTTTTATTAATTTTAGAAGTACTTTCAGAATTTGAGTCATGGCCAAATACTTGGAGTACAGTGTTTTACTATCCTGAGCTTTCTCTTTCTTCTAGTATAGATGAGACCCTCCACTTTATATGAAGCCAAAGCTGGTGAGTGTGTTTAATGAGACTCACTTAGTACTTAATTTCTGTTAAATGATTACAAAGTAAATAACTGATTATGGAATGCAAATGACTTCACAGTGGATGGGAAATTCAAAGTGACTCTAAAATCAACTCCAAAAGAGTGCTGAGATCATGCCAGAACTTAGAAAATAATACTTGTCCTTTAAGTAGTGACTTTAAAAGTTCATTCAGGTTAGATCTTATATTTTTATTAAATCAATTTTCATTACTATATAGACCTAGATTGAAGTTTTTCATATTTTGGAAAGACTAATATGAAAATACAGAAAAATGTTTTATCAAATGCAATTATTCAAGTAAATTTTACCAGTAACAAAATTTTAAATAACAAGGAAGTAATTTCTCACATTTTAGTCATTGATGGATTTTTATTTGATTTATTTATTTATATGTGGTGCTGAGAATCGAACCCAGTGCCTCACATGTGCTAGGCAAGCGCTCTACCACTGAGCCCCAGCCCCAAAGATACCATTGAATGAACAAAGAGGACTCTTTCTTTTTTTTTTAGTTGAATTTCTCACTTTTGAAAGGACTCATCTCTAAACTGAAATTTCTACAAAATATTTAAAGGTCATGCAATTCTCCAAATTAACATTTAGAAGTCACTATCCAATTTTTGCTTTTAGTAAGAAAAAAAGATTAAGACCTTCTCCTTTGTTACCTTCATGTTTACCTGTAGGGAGAAAAAAATCATAACTCAAAAACATATTGATATATTTACTCTAGTTAGCCAATAAAGTATATATTTCAAATCAAATCTCATTACAACAAACTTCAAAAGAGCATACAAGTTATAGAACCTCAGTATTAAATTCAAGCAGGCATCCATCAGGAAGCTAAGTACCTATTTTTATTAACACAGAATCAAATACAAGAAACAACAAATTTTACTGACTGACTTTATACAAGTATTGATTGTTTTCATTATATTATGTTGACATTAAGTTTATTCTAACGTTATAAATATCTTTTCCACAAATCAATAAACTGTACTTGCAATTCTTCAATTTTTTGCATTAAAAACATATTACTAGAAGGAACTAGCAAAACAAAGTATGGATTACATAGGCAAAAAAAATCTAAAAGAAGTTAATATAATGCAAACTAAAATTTGTGAAACTAATGAGATCTAAGACACTTCTTTAAAGTATACTCCTCCCAAAATCCAGTAGAGCAAAGGGTAGGAACACTCAGTTCTTAAATACTCCTGTCTCTGTACTAAAGAAATATATCTTAAATAAGAAAACAGTGAGACTCCTAAATGGAAAAGAAAAAATAACCAACATCACATGCAACCACTTCTTCATCTGACCCAAGAAACACGTAAAGGCTTTGAATTAATAAGATAATCAACAGCCAGGCATGGTGGCACACGCCTTTAATCCAAGGAACTCAGGAGGCTGAAGGAGGATTTCAAGTTCAAAGCGTGTCTCAGAAACTTGGCGAGGCCATAAGCAACCTGGTTGTAACAAAAACCAAAATATAAGGCTAACCTACAAGATAAAAATTTTTCAACTAATGTGAATCACAAAACAAAAATTAATGTCACAAAATGACAATTGCATTAAACCTCAAAATAGAAATGATGAGCAATAATTATTGGGAGACTTCAAATGTAACTACTTCAACTATGATTTAAATAATCTGTAATAGCAAATTAAAATGACTTGCCTCATGGTGAGCATTTCAATTTTTTTTTATTTTATTTTATTTTTTTTGGTGGTGGTGCTAGGGATATCAAACCCAGGGCCTCATGCCTGCTAGGCAAGCACTCTACCACTGAGCCACATTCCCAGCCCCAGCATTTCAAATTTTTAATCTTCTAATCTTTTTACTTAAAAAAAGTCATACATGTTAACAATTGCTTTTTTTTTTTTTTTTACTTGAAATGCAGTCTGACTTTGTTGTCCAATCTGGCCTCAAATAAACCTACTGTGTCAGCCTCTCAAGCACATACTACCACACCTGGTTCTTACATTTCTTAATAACTACTGGCTCATTTAAGTGAAAATAGTTTAATGAGATAAGCAGCACATCTCCACTTTCCAAATGAAAAAACTGAAATACAAACAGGCTGCAAGGTCATCAGCTTAATAATGACAATGAAAACAGATCTAGGATTCCTCAATCGTCTTCTATTTATAATGGCATCAGTTAACGTATAACACATTTTCAAATACTTACCATAGAAATGTCCAAATCCCATGCTGACTGCAATCACCAAAGCAAGTACAACACACTTATTGAGACCACTACTGAACTGGCGTTTACTCAACTCCTTAGAAGGTTCATTTTCCTGTTCAGCAGGCAATCGTTCCTCAGATTCTGAAGTGGAAATAGTCTTCTTCCTAGCTCGGCGTCGTCTAAAGGCAGGACTAGGTTGATTACTGGTTTCATCACTACTTGATTCACCATCACTAGGCTGAGATGAAAATACTATTTTAAAAAGAAAAATGTTGGTATTTACGTATTAAAACTTTTAGAAAAGCTTTCCCAATAAATATGACTTAGAATAATCAATGCTATCCCTATATGCCTTTTTACATGAAATAGCAAACCAAACAACACAAAAACAATTTTTCAATCTATCAACATAAAGTGAAAGCATAAAAATCCTAGAATGTGATACACAGAAATTTGTTAAAACATATTACTCCATACCTTGAAATACTGGTTAAAAAAACCCCAAAAAAACAAAAAAACTCCCCCTGGCAGTTCGTACTTTTATTCTCATAGCCTATTAAATTTCATTGCTATGGGATGCATAAAAAAACAAGTACTAATTCTGAAAGAAAAAAAAATCATCTCTCTTCATTGATTTTTTTAAATATATATATATTTTTAGTTGTAGGTACACACAATACCTTTTTTTTTTTTAATGTGGTGCTGAGGATCAAACCTAGTGCCTCATATGTGCTAGGCAAGCTCTCTACCACTGAGCCTCAACCCCAGTCCTCTTCATTCATTTCTTAAATTCAACAGTTTAAGGAACCCAGGAACATATACAAGCAGTCCTGTGATTCACAAAGTATAACTACCACCAAAAATTTCCTGGGTCTATCTGGCACCTACTTTCAATTCCATCTACTATCCTAAATCAAGTTCAAAGCACTACAGTTTAACACAGGTTTCCAGAAGTCAGATGAGCCCTTCCCTTCCACTGCCACTCTTACTAGAAGGTTATTAATTTCACCCTCTAGTAAATATGTCAGCATGAGGAAGTGACACAACAGCTATCTCAGATATTAAGGACTTCTTTATGAAAGGATAGCATAGAACAAGGAATCAGGAAAAGAAAAACTATACAAAAAATTTTTAAGACCAAGAAAACATTTCCTGGAAACAGCAGCTTCAATTTTTTTTTCCAAATGCTTAATATAACACTTTTACATATTTCAAAACAAACTATCTGTTAACACAGAAGATAGATACATCATTCAGTAATGATTTCTACAGGCTGGTTGGAAGTAAAGGAAAGCACTAAAAGTAAGGATAAAATTGAACTTGAGTTTAATACAAAAAGCTTCAAAACAACAGTCATGCTTTAAAAAATAAAATAAAACAGTTCTTTAGAAGACAGGATATCCATGCCACAGGAAAGCTGATTTGGTTAGGCAATGCTTTTTTTAAAAAATAGATCATAGGGGATTCAGTTCACTTTCACATAACAACAAACACAAAGACCAAAGTCACTACTGAATGAACAAATACTCCTAATATTTAGTGATACAGATGCCACTGAGAAATCTTTTGGTCATGCCCCTTATGCCCATCATGTTTATCTGTTTATTCTTGATCACTAGTTTTTCCAAGATGCCATCACCTCAAGCGTGAGGTTACATTTCTTGGACAAAGTGAAAAAAGGGAAGATTTAAACAAAGCATTACATAATACAAAGGCATTCATGTTCATGGTTAGAATATTTAAATCAGACTTTTGACTCAGAATGATAATAAGTAAATGTAAAAACAAACTGTCAAAATTCCCTGAATAAATTTTGAATACTACCATTAACACATACTGCCTTCATTATGTATTCTAACAAACCAACTTAACCCACATTCAGGTCTTTATCTAATGCTTCCATCTTTTCCACCTATATACATAACAGCTGAAATATTTTGATTTCTAAGCTTTTAAAGCATAATTTGGCCCATCGTCCAGGATGCAAGCAATGCAAAAGGCATGCAATAAGCTCAGTCAGCTTTTTTTATAAAATCAATTTTGAACACCTGTTTAGGGTATCACAGATTATAACAGGTATCTTTGAAGCACATAGTAAGTAGTAAATGTGACTAGACACACTCAGCTCTATAGAAGCTGATCAGATTTAGTCACACCACCTTGGAAAGTGAGTTGGCTAGGAACATGGTGTTTCAGCTGATCATCCCATCCCATTATGCATTCAGGAATCTTCCACAGCTTCTCCCACCATCTTTCTTTTGTGAATAAATAGGGAAAAAAGATGTATAAAGCTTTATTATAAAGAATAAAGAAAATAAATAATTGAAAATATTTATCAAAACATTGTGCTAACTTAAAATCTAATATCATGCCTTTTCAAAAACATATATACAATACATACATCTCTACAGCTACCAACTTGGCCTTTGCGGCCAGGAAAGAGTGTTAATATGAAAGAAGTTGGTATTATTCTTAAAAAGTACATTACTATTAAAATCTAATGTTTCTTCTAAATGTTTTTAGAAGAAAAACATGAAGTCAAAGTAAGGATGAAGAAAAAAGGGAAAGGAAAAAGCAAAATAACTAAGCAATCAAAGGGTAGCATAAAATTAACAAATCAGGAAAAAAAAATGAGAATAAGGAAAAGAAAACTCCTGACAACTAATCATATACTGTCTATAATGAGTCCATAAAGACATCTCAGTCAAGAATGGACCACATTTCATTTTTTTTAAACTTTTTTTATTGAAACAATTTCTTTTAGAGAGGGATAAGATTGGGTAAAAATATAGTTAATATTCCTGTTAACTAAATCTGCAAAATTCCCAAGAAGTCTGAGTTCAGAAAAGAGAAAAATATTAAAATTAATGAGCTTAGAGTTATCTAAGGTCCTGAAAAAACAGTCCATAGCCTTTTTTGTGTCTTATATGTCACCCTGGACCCTTCTGCCATACTCCTGCTTCAATTTGACCATTTTGGTCATGCATTTTCTTAAATTAAACCAAAGGGCAGGGGGAGACTATTTGAATACAAAACAAATCCTGGAATGCAAAAACACATCAAAATTTGATCACCTTACTAAATTGTAAAGTTAGTTATATTAAGTCCTTATAAATAAATGCACAGTGAATCATTCATTTCCATAGGTCCTATATCCCTCCATTCAATCAACAATGGATTGAAAACATCCACACACAAAAAATCTATACCAAACATGTACAGACTTCTTTTTCTTTTAATTCTCTAACGATTTATATAGCCTTTTACAAGATTATAAGTAATGTAGAGATGAGAGGATATGTCTAGGTAATTTGCAAATACTATGCCATTTTATATAAGAAACTTCAGCATCCAGATTTTGGTGTCTGCCAGGGTCCGGGAACCAGCCCTTTGTGAATATCAAGGGATAAGTGGACTAGGTAAGCTATTCTAACAAAGTTTTCCTCTAGCCTCTAAGAACATCAGATGAGTATTTAAATAGTTAAAATGTTTCCAGTTTCTATGGATACACTAAATAAAATCAGCTTATCAAATTGAGATAGCCAAGATCTCAAACTGAATTTTATTAGCTTAAACTCAAATGATGGAAATTCCCTTGTCTGATTCTAGATGCCAAATGTAAATATTAAAGAGAGATTACCTCAGATACTATCTGTTCCTATTTTTCTATCAAATCAGGAAATTTCTGGAATCAAGATTCCAAGTAGCCTCTCCCATAATTCACCTTTATAACTGTGGGTTAATTATAGGTGCATCGTATGATATTTTTCCAGGAAGATTATAACTAAATATTTTAGATCATCTTAAAAGATGTTAAAAACTAACCGTAAGAAGTATGGAAAGGAATAAGCTTAGCAACTCAAAATTTTACCTCCAAATAACTGTGAACAATGAGCATTGGCTGCATTAAGAAAGTGACTTATAATAGGTACATTTTCACAACACAGTCTAAATGAAAGACCCAAGTCAAGGAGTTTTTTGGAAGACTGCTTTATTAACAGTTCCTTGAACACTGTTTTATACTTGGTAGGTACCATAAATATTTGCTAAATAACTTATAATCAAAGGGATCTGCAAGACTTAAGAATTTTTTTTCACCAACCCTGGAGCAGTTTCACACACCTATAATCTCAGTGACTGAGAAGGCTAAGGCAGAAAGACTGCAAGTTCGCAGCTAGCCTCAGCAACTTAGCAAGAACCTGTCTCAAAATAAACAAAAATTTAAAAGGGCTGGGGATGTAGCTTAGGGGTAATGCTCCCCTGGGTTAAATCCTCCCCAATTTTTTGCTTTCACTATTTGTATAATACAAATTTGTACTATTATAATTAAAAATGTTAACATCCTCGTCCTTTCAGGTAAGATGTTTCAATTTCCCACTTGTAAAGATCTAAAAAAATAGTAATAATAATAAGCCAAATGCATTTTGAAGTGTTTGGGACTGTAATACATCCTTTAAGAAACTAACTATAGATGGGGTGTAACTCAGTCATACAGCAACTTCCTTGGAAGTGCAATCCCCAGCACTGCAAACAGCACCAGTAAAACCTCCAAGAATCCACCCCCAACTAGGTACTTTTTACTTGCAATTCTCCTGCCTCAGCCTCCAGAGTACCTAGAATGACAAATGTGTACCACTGTGTACCCAGATATGTACCCAGCTCAAGAAATTCTGTCTTCTATTTAACAATTCAAAAGACAAACATGATTTTAAAAAAGTCTTGTTGTAGCACAACATTGCTCTGCTCCAGGCCATACAATCTAGGAATACCCTAGATATAACCGTAGATTTACAAAAAATTTCTTGAGTTTTACCCAAATATAATCAAAAGTTGAGATTTAGTGTTAGAAAACAAGATTTTATATAAATCTCATATCAGCATATTATCATTATATATGTCTTACCAGTTTCTGGTTGGCAGAATGTATACTGGCTGCTTGAGGAAGAGCCCATGTTAAAATCTTCTGAACTCTGTGCTTCTTTAACAATTGTAACTTCTTGATTTCCAAATTCTTCTAACTTAGGAGGTTCAAGGGTAACAATATCAGAATCATCACTGGCAGTTCCAAAATAGACATTATCTTCAGGGGACCTCTCTTCTTCTACCTAAAATTATCATAATTTTAGAGATAATAAATTATAAAATTATTTAAGAGCCTTATATTTCTATACAATTCAAAACGTATAGGGTAATATAGTAATCTGAGGTTAAAGTAAAATACATGGTTTCCTGTTTTTTCCAGTGCTAGGTATCAAATCCAGGGTCTAGGACATGTTAGACAAGTGCTATACCACTAAGCACTTCCCCCAGCTCCTAAAGATATTATTTCTTACCAACAGTAAAGGATTATGCAATAGAGGCTCATCATTTAACTTGAAAACATCATCAAACCCGTTGGCAACTCTCAGATTTAGATGGACCACTTCTTTCTCTGACTGGAATGCAGAAGCTGAGAAAACTACCTTTGCCATCCAATGACCACAGAAAAGAGAGAGTTGATTTCTCTCACCAGTTCTATGAATTTAAGCATGATTTTGTACTCAAGGAACCTGTTAAAGACTGATTAAATTTTTCTGGTTATGTATGTATTAAACTTGAACAGCTACATCATCTATCTATATAGTTTAAATGTGTCCCCCCAAATTCATATGCTGTAACTTAATCACCAATGTGATTAAGAACCCCCAATGGATGCAAGAAACCATGGACAATATACCACCCTATATATACTATATTTTTTCTATACCATATACATACCTTTTAATTTATAAATTAGGCACAGTAAAAGATTAACAATAATATAAGATATAGAATAATTATAATAATGTACTATGATAAAATTGTATTAATGTATTGTCTCTTTTGAAAAAGTCAAGACAAATAAATACTTTTGGACCACAGCTGACTGCAGGTAACTGAAAAGGGAGAAAGCAAAACCACACATAAGGAGGACTACTGTATTAAGAGTTGGGACCTGGCCAGGCATGGTGAACACTCCTGTAATTCTAGGTACTCAGGAGACTAAGGCAGGAAGATCGAAAGTTTGGGTCCAGTCTGAGCAACTTAGCAAGACCCTGCATCAAAATTTAAAAAGGGTTGGAGATGTAGCTCAATGGCAGAGTGTCCCAGGTTCAATCCCTAGTACTGCAGAAGGAAGGAGGAGGACGAGAAGAGGGAAGAAAGAGGAGAGAGGAAGGAGAGGAGGAAGAGGAGGCCTACTTCAAACGAAAATTATAATACAGATTAAAAGAACAAGTCTTTAACAGAAGCTAACTTTACCCTTAAAACTGATCAATCTATGGAATCTCAAAATTTTCAATTTACATTGCTTATGATTCAAATAGGAAGAAAATACAGAAATGGAGGCTTCGATTCATATTCTCTAAGGATACTATTTATCATACATTCACAGAGTACAACTTTACCTCAAATGCTGACGTGGTTTCTTCCAAAGTTGGATAAGCAGTTCCTTCCATTAACAATGTGCTATTTTGGCTGCTTTCTGTTATAATGCAAAGATCAATAAAAATATTCATTTAAAACAGTTGACTCTTTGTAATATAAATACCATCACTGTAGAAGAAATCTATTCTCAATGTTAAAGTAGATGAATGAAAAGTCATACAATTGTAAAAATAACTCTACTGTTACCACATTTTAATTATTTGAAATTGTCAGGAAACAATTTTATTTACTTAAGTGAACTCACTTGGGACCTACTAAGAACTTAAATCAAAGCTAATTTAAGTAAATAAAATCTCTACCTTGTAATAACAAATCACTTAATGAAAAGTGTTTCTAAGAACCCATTAATATGTAAAATACATCTTCAGATACCTGATAGCACATTTCCTGACTTCTTAAAAGTTCATCCAAAATTCCTAAAAATACCACCATTCCAATGGCTATCACTGGCTTGTAATGTAAGAATCAAAGCTGCTTTAAATTGTAAAAAGCTTGTCGGATGCAGTGGCGCCTATAATCTCAGCAGCTTGGGAGGCTGATGCAGGAAGATTGCAAGCTCCAAGCCAGCCTCAGCAACTTAACAAGACCCTCAGCAACTCAGAGAGACCCTGTCTCCTCAAAGAAGAAATGTAAAACAGAATACTGAATTCATTATTTTTTCTCAAAAAGAGTACAAAATGTTAATGGGAGTTAAGTATAATATTAAATACATACATAAGTTATAAAAGAATTATAAGTAGCTGTATATTAAAATCATTTTGGGGACTGGGGTTGTAGTTCAGTGGTAGAGTGCTCGCCTAGCATGTGTAAGGCACTGAGTTCAATCCTCAGCACCACACAAAAATAAAATAAAGATATTATATGTCCACCTACAACTAAAAACATTTTTTTTAATCCTTTAAAAATCATTTTCCCTACCATGAACTTTATTTTTATGTATTTTAACTACCTAAGAACAAGAAAAAAAACAGTACTTTTGTGTTGAATAAAAGAATATTATCGTCAAAGATGGACTTGGGTCCACAGAGTACCAAGTATGGAAATTTTTTACATATAGGTAAATGCATTTCTTAGGAGAAACTATTCACACCTTTCAGAATCTCAAAGGGATCTGAACTACAAACAATGAGAATATGTGCAAATGAGAATAGTAATCAGCACATAAGCTTAAGAAAAAATTAACAGGTACAATCTCCTCTATTTCTATTTCTGGCCTTGACATACCTACTTTACTCTCCTGAGGGGGAAATGTTCTTCTTACTTTACATTTTAATGAAATTGTGTGTAAGAAGTAGTTTAAATATGAAGATAAGACTACATAGAAATTGCTTGGGAGTTACAGCAATTATTTGGGAGTCATATGTCTCTACATAAATAACATGCACAAGTTCCACAGGAAGTATATTAACATAGATGCAGTACAGTACATGGTCAAATATCATTTTACTAAATCTTAACTCAAGAACTCCATAGCATGATGATACCTAGAGAATCTCTTCTGATGAAAAGTTTTGTACATTGCTAGCCATAACATTAATAATGGCAAGCAAATACAAAGTACCAAACAAATTCATGTTAAACCACATAATACATAATGTTTAGTCACTGGTTACACCTATGGTATGAAAGACTATGTAGAGGCCCAAACATATTACTGCTGCAAATAATAAACCCTATGGCAGGCTGGTGATACTAGGTTCTGCAAGCCTTCCTAAATCCACTCTGAATTTCTATCTAACCCACACTAAAATTAGTCCTTCAGTAACCAGATCACTAAGATTATCCAAAAAAGCTGACTGCCTAGAAAGAAGTCAAGATTCATAATGGCACTCACATTTTTGTTTTCAATCAGAATTTAACAACTTACCTTCCTGCTCTATCTGCAGTACTTGAACATCCTCCTCTTGTTCTAAAGATGAACATTCTGGGGTGAGCTCACAGCTGTCACTGGTTGTGACAGAATTCACCATCTCTACATCAGACCCCTAGAGAAAAAGTGATACTCAGTTATTTCTCTATTAATTTTTCAAAGCTGGATTTGATTTGTTTTCCATTATTAAAAGTCCCAGATGTTGCCGTACTCCAAAAGGGAATGACATCTAATCCAATGAGCTTTATCCCAGCAACTCAGGAGGCAGAGGAAGAAGGACTGCAAGTTCAAGACCATCCACAGCAACTTAGCTAGGCCCTAAGCAAGAGGCAAGACCCGGTGTCAAAATAAAAAATAAAAAGGGCTGGGGATGAGGCTCAGTGGTTAAGCACCCCTGGATTCAATTCCTGGTACCAAAAAAAAAAAAAAAAAAAAAATCAAATCCAAAATTCAAATTACAATCTGTTCAGAGAAACAGCCACACGCAAACAACTTTTTTTTTTTTTAATTTTTTAGTTGTAGATGGACCCAATACCTTTATTTTATTTATTTATTTTTATGTGGTGCTGAAGATAGAATCCAGTGCCTCATACATGAGAGGCAAGTGCTCTGCCCCAGGGCCACAATCCCAGCCCAACAACCACTTTTTATGGCAAAGTAAACTGCTATGTTGAAGGAATAATTGTTTTAATATTCATAGATGTACACAATACAATAATATTATTTGGCCAATATCATTCTCCAATATATTTCCCCTTTCCCTCCTTTCCTCCCTCTCCATGGCCCATTTCCTCTATTCTACCAATCTCCCTTCAATTTTCATGAGATCCTTCCTCTACCTTTTCATTTTTCTTCCTTGGCGTCCACATATGATGGAAGACATATGATCTTGACTTTATGAGCTTGTTTTAATTGCTTAACATAATGTTCTCAAGTTACATCCATCTTCCTGCAAATGACATAATTTCGTTCTTCTTGGCTCAATAAAACTCCATTATGTGTATATACCATATTTTATTCATTCATTCACTGACAGACATCTAGGCTGGGTCCACAGTTTGGCTACTGTGAATTGCACGGCTATGTATTTCTATAGTATGACTTTAATTCTTTAAGATAAATACAAAGGAGTGTTATAGCTGGGTCATATGATGGTTCCATGCCAAGATTTTTCTGAGGAACCTCCATACTGATTTCCAAAATGGTTACTGTAATTTACAATCCCATTAACAGTGTGAAAGTTTCCTTTCTCCCCGTATCATCTGCAGCACTTATTACTGTATTTATATTCTTGATGGCTGCCATTTTAACTGGAGTGAGATGATATCTCAGGGTAGTTTTGATTTGCATTTCCCTAACTACTAATGATGTTGAACATTCTTTCCATATAGTGTTGACCACTTGTATTTCTTCTTTTGAGAAGTGTCTGTTGAGTTCATTTGCCCATTTATTAGTTGTGTTATTGGTGGTGGTGTATTTTATGGGTTTTTTTTTTTTTGGTGTTTGAGTTCTTCATATATTCTAGACAGTAATCCTCTATCAGAAGAGTAGCTAGTCAAGATTTTCTCCCATTCTGGAAGTTCTCTCTTCACTTCCTTTGCTGTGAAGAAGCTTTTTAATTTTATGCTATCCCATTTATTAACTCCTGATATTATTTCCTGGGCTTTCAGGGGTCTGTTGAAGAAGTTATTGCCTGTACCTGTATGCTAGAGTGTTGCCCCAACATTTTCTTTTATGAGTTGCATAGTTTCTGGTCTAATTACTGGATCTTCGATGCATTTTGAGTAGACTTTTGTGCACAATGAGATATAAAGACCTAATTCCACTCTTCTGCACATGGATAACAAATTTTCCCAGCACCATTTGTTAAGAAGGCTGTCTTTTCTCCAATGTATGCTTTTGGCATCTTTGTCAAAGATCAGATAACTGAAAGGCATAAATTAAATGAACCTTTCAGGTTAACAGAAGCCTTTCCTATAACAATTTTTTATTCTGAGGTTATCCTTCATACTTTGTTGTCAGACTGTCTTTCTTTAATAGTGGAATCTTGTGAATTTTTTCCTTGTGTCTTTTTTTTTAAGTTATACATGGACACAATGTCTTTATTTTGTTTATTTGTTTTTATGTGGTACTGAGGATCAAACCCAGTGCCTCACACATTCGAGGCAAGCGCTATGCCACTGAGCCACAGCCCCAGCCCTCCTTGTGTCTTCATAAGCAAAGTTAACCCTGAAGCTGATTCTGCCTCTCCCTATTTTTTCTATCAACTTACAAAATTCAAATATATAACTCACAACAGCAAAAAATAAAAGAATTTGTGAAAGGAATAGGCTTTGAAGACTAAAGAGAAATTTAACATATAACTCAAAACAGCAAAATATAAAAGAAGTTGTGAAAGGAGTAACCTTGAAGACTAAAGAGAATTCTAAATATAAGACTTTAAGGTTGCCTATGGTGGCAGGAGCATGGCAGAAGCAAAGGCAAGGATAGAGCTGATTAGGGGGTTGCTGGAAAGACCAGTTCTGGACCAAATCACAATGGTAATAATGGAAAAGGAAACATATGTATAAGAGACACTAACAAGAGAGCTGAATTTGGTAACTAAATACAGAAGATGAAAGTATAAAAAAACATGACTTACTCTGTGGCATGATGTCTAACACACTTGGCAAATGCCAGAAAAAATTACTGTTTTGTTCTAACCTGCGGGCTCACAGGTAGGATTTCCAATGCTGCCTTGCTCCTGTACTGTTAATTATCCTTGAAGGAAAAGAAGCTGCTATGAGTTGACCCAAGCTTTGTAGAAACAGGTAAAAAATAGAAAAATCACTTTGTGTTGGGGGGAAGGTACTGGGAACAGAAACCAGAAATGCTCTACCACTGTGTACATCCCCAGTCCTTTTTTTTTTTCCATTATTTTTAAATCTTAGGATATAGCTAAGTTGCTCAGGCTGGCCTCGAACTTGCAATTTTCCTGCCTTAGCCTCCCAAATTGCTGGGATTACAGGTGTGTGCCATCACACCTGGCATACTTATAAAAATAAAAACAACTTCAAACTCAATTGGTACAGTTGCTATTAAATTTTGAAACTATAAAACAGAAAAGCAATCTTTTTTATTAATCTTGCTTTCTAGAAGATGACTAATTGTCTAAATATTAAAATAATTATATAAGAAAATGTTAAAATTTTTCTATTAATGAAAAATAGGCAAGAAGAGATCCTGAAAACAAACAAGAAAACCACAGATGCTTTGAACAAGTATGGCTGATTTTTACTTTATTGTATCTGAGTGATTTTTTTTTAAATAATGAAAGCAGTGTAGAACATAAACCCTTAATAAAAACTTATGATGTTTCTTCTCTTTGTAATGTTTATTACAAACTAGTTATGTGCATTCATTGTATGTATATTACTCCTCTACATAAAACATATTTTGTGATAAAGTTCTAACCATAGTTCTTTAAGTTCCTATAACATCATAGTTCTGTTAAGTTCCTATAACAACATTCTCCATCTTCCTTTCTGGTCCATCTTCCTTTGAGCCATTCTGTTCTATCCAGGCTTGGATATTTTCTAATTACTTAATTTTTGACAAATTTACCTTTCTAAGCTTCAGTTTTCTTAACTACAAAATAAGAATGAAAACAATCTATATACAGTGAGGTTTTCTTTAATTATATGAGAATTGGATAAAGCACAGAGCCTGACTAGTAATAAATCTCAGTAAAAATGTACCTAACAACTTCAAGCTAAGGAAAGCTATGAACAATAATGCAGACGATACTGGCCCATGAAGAGTTTTCAGCAAAGCAAGCTACAGACAATGGAACCTTTGGCTTAAATGCAGAAAAATGCTGGCCTTCAAAGAACATTTTATATCACTGCTAACACTAAAAGACTACAAATTGGGCTGGGGATATGGCTCAAGCGGTAACACGCTCGCCTGCCTTGCGTGCGGCCCGGGTTCGATCCTCAGCACCACATACAAACAAAGATGTTGTGTCCGCTAAAAACTAAAAAATAAATATTTTAAAAATTCTCTCTCTCTCTCCCTCTCTCACACTCTCTTTAAAAAAAAAAAAAAAAAGTCTACAAATTGCCTCATAAAAAGTATTAAAGAGCATACCTCATGATTGATGACAGTCCAACCACAAGATGAATCACTGTCACTGGAATTTTCAGACATTTTTCAGGTCTACAAATACAAGAACATATTGACTTGTGGTACACATTTTTTTTTTAATCTGATAAGAAGCTCTATATGTGACATAAAGTGTGAAACGTAGCTTATTGACTTCCAGATGAAACTAAGACAACCCACCCATAGATTTATCACACAGGATATGATATGATTGCAAACCTTTATGAACAAAAACAACCAAACTTCTAAAAACAAGACGATTCTCCTGAGCTAGAATGGTCTGGGCAATTCTATTATTGGAATGAAGAAGAAAGTTGAGTCTGAAAGAAAATGTAGGATTTGACCAGGCAGAATTAAAGAGGAAGGAGAACCCTATTTAACCACGTCAGACAGTTGAGGTTGGCAGAATGGTGACTGGGGAAGAAATAAACAGTAAAGACCCATATTTTCAATGAATAGTGAGAGGTGTAAAAAGCATGGCTAAAGAAATCAAGCAGTAGGGAGACTGGAAGAGCTCCCCTGCCAAGCAAAATGAAGACTCTATGTTGGCTATACAAGCAATTTAAATTTTACAAGCAGAGAAGAAACATAAGTTTTTATTAAAATATGTCAGAGATATTTCAGTTGTATTGGATTAAAGTAGGGAAAAATAAAAGGAAAAAAAAAACGAACAGAGGTTGGTTCAAAACTTGTGGTCACTGGCAATGACCTAGAATCAAGTTCTGGATCAGCATACACTGGTCACTTTACCTAGTTTCTTCTCCACTTTCCATCTGAGGCTCCTTTAAACTGCAAAATGCATCTCAACTTGCTCTACACATCTAAATCATATGCTTCTGTTACTGCACATATACTATAAAGATATTAGATCCAAGCTGATGGCTACAATACTACTAGAACTCTAGATAATACTGAACTAGTGCTCAAATAAGAACAGGCAAAAAATAAAGATCTGGATCATCTATTGATTCTGGAAACTCTTACAAATTAATATTTTTTAAAAGGAGATACAAAGAGGCTAGTCACTAAACATAAAAAAAGTGCATGTTTTCAGATAAATTATTCAAAATTTGAACATTAAAAATGATCATGTGACTTTTTATGCTATGTTAGAGATTTCTGATAAGTTCACATGAAGTCATCTGTTTTGATTTCTATTTAATTGGTTAGATCAGGTCATCTATAATCCTACAAAATTTCTATAAACTTACAGAAAAGTCTTAGAGTAAAATGAAGTCTTTCTATCCAACAAAGATTATCCAAAAGGCTACAGTATGAATACCTCAAGGAATATTAACCAATGTTATATGTTTAACCTTATCCCAGTATTCTTTGTTAAACTATGTAAATTCCAATTTCTCATCAAAGCAGTTTTCATGAGTTTTAAAAAAACTTTTAATACATATCACTATTTGTATTGTGTTTTATAATAATTTGAAAAGCATACATTGACATATGTGAGCACACAAAGATTGGGCAATTAAATTTGCAGTGGGTAAAGAGGGTTTATATATAATCAAAGGTTTTATAAATGAACCTGCAAATTAGACAGCATATTTTTCAAACTGAATTAACAGCTGCCAAATTTTAGAAATTGAGATATTACATAAAAATAAAGATATCCAGCTTCTTGTTTAAAAAAAAAATCAGATCTGACAGTAATTTCCTGGTTTCTTTCTTCCTAAGCAAGAAAGGGAAAAAGTATTGGAGCTGGGGTTGTGGCTCAGTGGTAGAGCGCTTGCCTAGCATGTATGAGGCACTAGGTTCAATTCTCAGCATCACATAGAAATTAATGAACAAAATAAAGGTCCATCAATGTCTAAAAAAATTTTTAAAAAGGGAAAAAGCATTATACAGCAAGAACAGAAGCTGAAAATTTTAGTCTAAGAAAATTCTAAAAAAGGCAATTAATCTAACATGAGTGGAGTGAAAAAAGATCAAATTTGAATTCTGAGAGTATATTATAAGATGGAGAAGGAAGCAACTAAAGGGCCCTAAACCTGTAGGATGCAAACAATGTAATATTCCATGAAAAAGATAACTACTAAACTTAATAAATACTAATGAAGACAGGGCAAATGGCGGGGAACATTTCAGAGAGATTTGAAGACATGGAAGACTTTTTTTAAAGGACTAAATAGCCAATCATAGAAAGGGAAAGTACAGGGTAATTTCCAGGTCTCTGGTTTCAGTGACTGGACAACTGGAAAACACATTCCACATGAAACAAGTAAGTGGAGCTCTGTGAACAAGAAAATCGACTGAAGCCCAAAAAACATTCTTTACCACATGAAAGCTTCTTTCTTTCCTTTGCCTTCCCCACCTTCTAAAACTTCTGTTAATAGCTCACACTCTCACTGTTGCTACATCCCACCTCCATGACTTACTGGAACTTTATTTTCTTAATGCCCCTTCAAACTTCTGATTAGTCATCAGAGATATTTAAATATGCATAAATCTCCTATTCCCTAGGTAATTTCAATTTAAACAGTTCTTTTAAACAGGTTAGCCCTAGCTTTTTATTTCCAATAAAAAGCATCCTCTATTAACTTTGGAGATGAAATAAAGACATTTCAAAACAAAGTATTAATGTGTATTAATACATTGCCTAACTGTGGATATTTATCAAACTTGAATTTCTCAAATCAATGAGTCTACTTTAATACAATCCCAATTTAAGTCTTTGTTTACTTCCCTGGGGGGGGAGTATATGTATGCCCAAACTAACCCAAAAGAGAAAAAAAAAAAAACTCACGCGGCATATACCATTTTGATAGTATGGGCAAGCAAAGTGACAGGCCTACTAAAGAACCCTCTTAATTTAGTTGTTCTCAAAAAAACAGTTGAAACCCATGTAAATTGGAAAATGCCTGTAATCCCAGCTACTTGGGAGGCTGAGACAAAAGAATCCCAAATTCAAGGCCAGCCTGGGCAACAAACAGAGACCCTATCTCAAAGAACAAAAAGCTCTGGAGATGTAATTCAATGATACCACACCCCTTTGTACAAGGGGAATAAGGAGTTGTGTGTACTATAATCATATAAAAAACTGGTAATTTTCTAAGGCCAACTCTAGACACACTGACTATGAAATATTCCTGTGGTGTTTGAACCTTGCCAGATATCTTCCTAAAATAATCATCTCATTATGCCATTCCTTTAAAATTTCCATATTGTCTTCAGAATATGACCCAAAGGCCTTAAATATCTTTAATCTCTATCAATTCATCCTCTTTCAAATTATTCTTTTCCTCCAACCTTTTAAATTCCTTTAAAAGTCTCAAGCTGGGGGTGTAGCTTGGTGGTATTATATGTGTTTAGCATGCAAGTGGCCCTGGAATTAATCCCCCACACCAAAAAATTAAAAAATAAAACATTATGCTTTCTCTTTACTCTAGGGCTTTACAAATTGTGATCAGTGGTCTATCCCCTTACTGCAACCCAAACTCTTAAACTCATCTCAGCTAATGCTTCCTTTGTACCATTCCTTGACCCTATTCCCAAAGACTCTAATAGTTTCCCTAATCTGAAACTTAAATTAGAATCCTGTGCTATAATTGTTTATTTGCCCACCTGTTAAGTAAACATTTCTGGATGATGATGTGGTCATTGACACAAGTCCAAATTGTTCCTTAAGGATCTTAAAATTCTGGAGAAACCCATGAGGTTCCTCTCAGCTTATTCTGACCATAGGTAAATGCATAAATTCTTCTCATTTTACTAGGTTTACTAGTAATAACTTAGAAATAACCAGAGTTTATGGAAAATTTACAAAGGAATCATATAGTTACAAAGCTAAGGATATTTTGGAAAGACAATAAACTTGAAAACTTGGCTAAACTCAGGTTTCCTTTTATTCCTTAGGGTAGTCTCTAACTAAATCAGTTATATGTTCCCAATTGCTTTATATTCCATTTGTATATTGCTCAGGCCTTTCAAATACATCTACAAAACAGAAATCATTTTCCTGTTTCTGGTATCTCAGAAAATAGCATTAGCCAAGCTAGGTACGGTGACAAAGGTCTATCATCCCAGCTACTTGGGAGGCTGAGGTAAGAAGATTGCAAGTTTAAGGCCAGCTTTGGCAATCTGGCTGAATCTTGCATCAAAACAATTTTTTTTTTTTTTAAAAAGGGTTTGGGATGCAGCTCAGTGGAAGAGTACTTACCAAGCATGCATGATGCCCTGTGTTTAATATCAAACATCTCAAGAAAAAAAAAATTAGGTGACAGTGGTCAGAATTTCTAATAAGCCAGGCATGATGCTGCACAACAATAATCCCAGAAGCTCAAGAGGTTGAGGCAGTAGGATCATAGATTCAAAGCCAGCCTCAGCAACTTAGTAAGACTGTATTTTGAGACCTGTCTCAAAATAAAAAATAAAAAGGACTGGGGATGTGGCTCAGTGGGTAAGTGCCCTTGGGTTCAAGCCCTGGTACAAAAAAAAAACTTGTCAGAATAAGACAGCAATAATATTAATTATACCTCATTAAGTACAACTAGTTTCAATTACCTGATGGTGTACCTCATCATTCCTGAGTAGCTACATTTTACTATGGAAAGGCAAATTTTCCATTTCCTTATCTTCTAGAATTAAAGATGATGGAGAAGAATGAGGGCATTATTATACCATGCTTCTACAATTCCAAAGTAAAGCAAACAATAAGCTGTAAGGGCCAAAAAAAGTGCTGCTATACTGTCAATGTCATCCAAGATAGACAGTCTGGATAGCTTTCACAAATCTTTTTCTACAATGTTTTTCAAAGGTTCCAGATCTTTCATCTACCAAAAGGATATGAAAATGCCTGCTTTAAAAGAAATTTTACCTGAGAGAACAACACAGGATTATAACTAACGAAAACTTTAAAATGTCCTTTATAATCAACTTTTTCCAATAGTAACCCTAGAGAAATATTTTAAATAAGCCTATCCTGATCTGAAACATTTAATATTATAGTCATTCATTCAACAAACACTGAGTACTTTACACTGTGCCATGAACTATTCCAAGTGCTAAGAATAAGGACTCAAAAGAAAAAAAAATAAGTCCTCCCT